TCTTGTCAAAATTGCAATTAGGACGATGGATTGATGACGACTTAAACACCTTAGCTTTACTTCACCACCCTAGCTAGCTGGTTATCTAGCCTTACCATTTATAGAAATTAAACATCTAGAAAACAATCATTAGCAGCTAATCACTTCCATTCCTTTCATTGATAATTACGTCTCGAACGCTTAATTCATTTTTTTAATATGTAATCTTTACTAAAGGTCCCCAAAATCTTCAATTACTCGAAATGGTAAACAAAAAGAAGGGTTTCTAGGAGAGAGTAGAACATGTCGGATGGAACTTGACTTTAAGAGGAAGGGAACATAAATTACACTTAGCTAATAATTATTAAGGGGTTAAATCTTGATTAATTAATTAATAAACTAGAAAATCCCTTTTTGTTAATCCTTTTTTTTTTCTCCTGAAAAAAAATATAAAAGAGAAGATAAAACCACATCAATTACCTAAAGTAAATGTCGTTGAAATCCAGCTCTTGTCCCCCTACTTTGCATAATTACATTTCAGCTTTTTTTCCCCCCCCCCTAGCTTTGTGGTTGCAAATGATGAAGAACTTTCTTCTCAACATTAAAATGATAACCTCTTTAGCAAATTGTTTTTCTTTTTGGGATTGTGCTTATGCCCTTAAGTGAACTATTTGAGATTCTAATGAAGGAGGGTCACTCTTGACTCTTGAGTTGAGTCTTGTCAATAAATACATTGTTGGGATAGCCGTCAAGTTCCTATTGGCAATGACTCCCAATTTTGGGGCCAAAGGTGTCTGTGATAATTTTTATTTTTATTTTTAATTAAAAGGAGGGTAGAGTTGTAGGGGATATTATTAGAGACACTTAACATCTAATCCATTTCCTATCAAATGAATTAGGACACCCTTCTTTGTAATTTCATACCTTCTTCTATGTGTCTCAACTACCCCATCTATTCATAATCTTTTCACTTTCACCCTTCTTTCTAAACATTCTTCTATCTTTTTCTCCTTCTCTTGTGGTTACTTTGATAGAAAAAGGGGAAAGCATTTTGTACAAAAACAATGCATTCATTCTTCCAAAGTTTGAAAAATCATCAATCGCCTTTGATTCCTTATCTTCAAAAAAGTTTCAATTCTATTCTCAACTTTCTTTTATCTTACATATATATATGTATGAATGTCAGTTACGATAATTAGGTTAATTGGTCCAAAACTTGTTATTCGAAAGGATAATCCAATTTGCTAATGAGCTAACTGTCATTGGTTACAAATTAAATGATTAATTTATTTGATACTAAATCAAAACTTTATCAACATGATGAAAATCGAAGCCGAAGTAAAACAAGAACTTAAAAGCAAATTTTAGATTAATTTCGGGTCATCTGACCAATTAATTAACCCGATCAGCAAGCCAGAAAAAAGTATTTAGTTCAGTCATATGATGCCAACAAGACTTATGGTTCTGGAACAGTACTAGGATTAGCTAGTTAAGGTAGCTGGCTTTGAATGCGACTGAAAATTAACCAGCCATATCTATTTTCGGTGGATATCTATATTGGAAAAATGTCACGTTACATTCCTTCATTAAAAAAAAAAAAAAAAAGTCAAATTACATTAAGTAGATGCTTGAGCCTTGAGTATACCGCATCCTTTTAGAGTCAGGTTGGAGATAAATAGATAGTCTACCTGTTCAAAATTATCAATATATGTTAGAGAAAAGTGTTGACAGAACATGTTTTTTAATAGATTTGACTTTGCAAAAAATTGTTTTTTTTAAAAAAATATTTTTTTGGATTAGTTTATTATTAATAAATGTCTCATACCAACATACTTATATATATTTTTAGTACTTTTTTTTTATATTTTCAATAAAAAATATAAAAATACACATTGAAAAAGCAATTGAAATGTAAACAATCCAAATTAAATTTTAGTAATGCAATCGGCCACCATTTAACACGAAAAACCTTAAAATATTTTTCTCATAAAATTGTTTTTCTTTTTTTTTCATATTGAAGGATGTTCACTATCGACAAAACTAATTCTCTCGTTCATAGCTGGCCAAAAATTTAAGGTTGTTCATTAATTTATACGCATGGTAAAATTCAAATCATCGACTTATAATTAAGGTGAATGAGTACTTTTCACTCCACGAGAAGCCTTTTAGTTATAAAAATGATTCCTCTAACACCCTAATGCAAGTCGCAAGATATGATTTGTTTGGGTCATAAATTTTGGGCTTCCCGGCCAGAGCAGTCCTTATTTGGTATATTGGATTGTGGTTAATGGGAAAGGGAAATGAATGAAGCAGGATTCAACGTGGTGTTTGATATTGTAAATAGTCCGCCTGTCAATTTTTAAAACGACAAAGTCACAGTCGCGTCTAATGGATCACTGGCCCAATGATTCATATTAGTATTGCCATGGTTCTTTCGTGCTTCAAGTGAATCAAGCTAGGGCTTTCTTCTAAGCCAAACTAATATGTTGTATCAGTCCTATAAGATGAGCTTCTGTACAAAAATAATGGAAGTTTGATACACTGGATACAAATTATCAAGTCGTGTTACACGATATATACAACTTCAGTTCTATGCAAAAAGTTGATATACTTCAACTAGCAAAATAGTTCGGTAACATTAAATGTATGAAAATACTGATTCACATATATTAAAAAAAAGTTTTGTTTAAAAATATTTGTATCGTTTCATGCGTGTCACATCTGTCACTAATCTATTGTATTCGCATTTCTTTCGAATTCTTTATTGTTACTCTATGGAATGTCCACAAGAGAAACGATCAAAATCCTCAAAACCTCTATAATATGCGTGTACCGATTTGTTAAAAACTCGGCATATAGGAAACATCGTAATGTAGGTTTTTGAAACATACATGACGAACCCTTCTTTTGCTTACTTTGTACCGATTTGACTCTTTCAAGTAAAAGAAACACTTGAGACTCCGGCTTAAAATGATTTTACTACTACGAAATGTAAGAATATGAAATACTATAACCAGAGTTAAGAGTAAAGTTGAGGAAAGTGCATAAATCAAAATGAAGATCAGGAAGCTAAGCTTTCATGGAAGTTCAAAACAACTGAAACAAACAAATTCAGAAAGCAATAGACCTGTCAACATTCAATTGCTGGATGGATGTTGTAAATATTCTGGGCCTCTTTCTACTGAGGCTTTTCATCCTGACGATCCCAATTGAATTTTATGAACAGGGTACTGAAGATCCCCAAGAAGAACCTGAAGTTAAATAATGGCCTTGTCAATCTAATTGTGTTTAATGGGTCTACGGCCCAATGATCCATCTGCAACATGTTAGTGTTGTCAAAGGTCCAAAAATAATAGACAGTCCTATGGGATGAGTTTCTGCAAAAACAAAAAGTAAAATAAAATAAAATCAAAATGCTGTGTACAAGAGAAACAATAAATCCTCAAACCTTTACGATGCATGTACATCTATAAATCAAATAACAACGTTGTAATCTAGGTTTATATAAGGTCCTTAATATAAGGTATTTTGATTTATCCTAAACTTCACCTAATACGTATTTTTAATTAATAAAAAAAATTTAAAAATATTTCATAATAATCAAGAGAACACAACGAATGTAAAAACATATTTTTTAAATTTTTTTTTGTCAATTAAAAATTCATATTAAATAAAACCTAAGAAAAATAAAAATGCTTTATATGAAGGAGTATAGGAAGTACACAAGATCTCATTTCATTTCATTAATATATAAAGAAAGAAAGGAAATATCCGACAATCTCATCATCTACTTCTTTAGTCTATTTTGAAGCAATTTGACTCCTTCAAATGAAAGAAACACTTGCCCAGTTCAGCTTGAAATGATTTTCTTATTACTCCCTCCCTCCGTCTTATAATTAGTGTCGAGTTTAGATTTTCATTTCTAGTTCAAATTGTACTAAAAGTGATATCTCAAATTGGACCAATATAATTATTTTGAAAACTTAAGAACATGAAATAACAATAACAAGACGTAAGTGTAAAGTTTAGGAAAGTGAATGCATAAATCAAAATGAAGATCATCACTAAGCTAAGCTTTCATGCTAGTGCAAAACAACTGAAGAAAATTCAGAAAGCAATCGATGTGTCAACATTCTTGATAGCTAAGTTAGATTAGCTGCTAAACACCACATTTCCTTGTTAAAGAATAATCAAGATAACCATTGTTCATCCCTCTTTAAAACTAAAAAGAATTGCAATGACAATGACAACAGTATTAACTACTACTAATAAACAACAGTGTTAACAACTGTTGCCCGAGGGAATCAAAGTGGGTGTGGCTGAAAAAGATGCAAAATGATTAAATTTTTCCAACTACTCAAATTAGTCTCAATAATATCGTTCGATTTAGTTAATGATCTAAAATCCTCAGATCACAATTTCCATTCGTTTCATTATTGATTGAACTATTTAATTCATAGAAATTACGATTTTGATTTTCTTTTTTTCAATTTCATTTTCGGATAAGTTCCGAAGCTTCTAATGCATATATCATTTTTCTAAAACAACAAACCGACAATTGAGACAACTGTAGGCCAAAAAGAATTAGGCCGTTAAAAACAGTCCACCACCGTGACCATGGTCCCCCAATACTAAAGTCTGTCACTTTTACAATATCAACCTCCATTTCCTAATTACTATTCCCTCCGTTCCTTATTATAAAACATTTTGTTTTGTCTTAAATTTATCCTAAATTTCATCTAAAATGTCTTCCTAATAATTAAGAGAACACGATGAATATGAAAATATATATTTAAAATTTTTTTTCTAATTAAAAATACATATTAGGTGAAACCTAAAACAAAATCAAAGTGTCTTATAATAAGGACCGCAAGGAATATGTTATTCAATTTTTATTTTTCCTTTTCACAAAAGAAAGGGTCTAAGTCTATTATATTAAATTGTATAAACTATATTTGAATGGAAGAAAATATAAAATCGTACTCTATCCATAATATTTTCGACAGCGGATTAAATAAACGCTGAAATTTTTGCTTGCTGGATTGCCTTTTATCATTTTAATTTTATCAATTTTTTTTGAAGAATTTATTTCTTAAAGAGGAATCCCCACTGCTGCCCTTGACAGATCATCATCCATGTGACAATACACCAAATCTCTTTCCATTTTCCCTTTTTTATGTTTCGGGGTTTTTGGCCCTTTGTTGTCATCAACAATACTATTTTATTTATACAATAGATTCTTATTTGAGAGAGGCAAAAAGAGGTGGGGAAATTATATTGTAATTGTGGGTTGTGATTTGTGAATATGTGATAAGAGTTTCTATTACTTTCTTGAGTTTTTTTTTTTTTTTTTGGCTTGCTGCTTTGGAACCCCTTTTAGGTTGTTGCCAACCACATCATTCTTTTTCCTTTTCTTGTCCACTTCTTCTTTGCCTCTTCCCATTATACATTTCCATTTTGCATATACCAAAATAGTACTACTACTAATCTACTTACTATTAGCCTACCTGTGTACTCTAAAAGCTGATCATTTTCTCAGTTCCAGCAGATCATTCATCATCATCAGCTTCATCCATGGCTACTGAACCTGTTTTATCAGATCCTCCTACTGCTCCTACTCCAACCCTTGAGGTATTTACTAACTTTCTATCACTTGTAACTTCTTTTGATTTCATGGTTTCTTTACTTCTTTTGGTTTTGTTGTACCAGGAATCTTGTTTGTTGAATTTGTTTGGACTTAATTAGCTCATGTTTCTTATTCCTTTTTAGTGTTTAATAGCAATATTTATCAACAGTTTCACTAGCTAGGAGGGTTTAGGAGCAAAGACTAGTCCATCATGGTTTTAAAGTCGCTGTCTTTATCAGTTATCACTTGAACAAGTTCCAGAGGATTATTAGTTAACTACAAGTCAAGCACAACTATCTGGCTAAGTTCCAGATTTCAAAAGATTGGAATTTTATCAAGATTTTTACTTCCATCAACCAATAAAAAACCCACAATTTTTCAACAAAAATTACCTGTTCATTTGCTATTTCCCAGGATACTCTGTTTGTAAGATTGGTATTTTTCTGGAAGTGACTGTCACTTTCTGAGTGGTGAGCTTAGTCACCCTTTTAGCAAGACTGTATTTTTACCCTTTTTTACATCATCAAAATGGTCGGCCCCTTGATCTTTTGGTCCTCTAATTTCTGTTTCAACCATGAATCGCCTCTATCATTTCCTCTCTGGCTTAATTCTGGAAAATATATGCATAGTTTTGATTCCCCTTTGCTTTCTTAGACAATTTTTTGCGATGTTTCTGCATAATTTGCAGCAAGTTGATAATGATGTGAAAGAAGAGGTGAAGTTAGTTCAACAGGAAGGTGAAGGAAAACCAGAGGAAAAGGTTGTGGAGGAGAAACCAAGTGAGGAGGTTAAAGTTGAGGAAGAAGAAGAACCAACAAAAACTGAGGAGCCAGTAAGTGTACCAGTCACTTCTGATGAACCAAAAGAGGAGGTTGAGGATAAGCACATTGAGCCGCCTCCGGCAACCAAAGAAATTAAGAAACCTGATGAGTCCCCTGTTGTAGATGTTGTTAGTACTGATACTCAGGAATCTGTAGATGACTCTGTTCCGAAAACAGAGGAGCTGGCAACACCACAAGAAGAACCTGCTAAAGCAGCCGAGGAAGGAGAAAAGGTTGAGGAACAGCCGAAGGAGGTTGATATTCCGGCCGAGCCAGCAGCAGTTGAGGAAAAGGTGGAGCAAGTGGCCGAACCGGTGAGTGATGCAGCGGAAACGAAGACAGAGCAAGTGGAGGAGGCTGCAGAGAAAGTTGATGCCCCTGAATCAGTGCCTGAGGTGATTGAGGCCAAAGAGGAGGAAGTAGCTGAAAAACCTGTTGCGGATGAAGCACCAAGTGAAACTGTTGAGACAAAAGTGGAGCAAGTAGAAGAACTGGAGAAGGGTCTCGACATTCCTGAATCAGCTCCTGAGGTTGTTGAACAGAAAGAGGAACAAGCTGCACCATTATCAGAAGAAGTTCAGGTTTCAGCTGCCCCTGAAGCCGAGGATATCAAAGAACAGACTGAGACTGAAGCTCCAGTAGTTGAGCCTGAAGAGAAAACTGAAGTTGAAGCGATTAAAGGTGAAGGAGTTCCATCTGATGCAGTTGAAACTCCAACAGTGGTGGAATCAACTGCTACTGAAAGCGTAGAAGTTCCCCCGGCTGAAATCCCAGAAAAGATTGAGGAAAAAGAAAGTGAATTGACCGCGGCGCCTGAAACTGAGGGGACTGAAGAAAAACCGGAAAAGACTGAGGAAAAGGAAGAGAAAGCCAGCATTGTTGAGGAAGTTGCACAACCCGAAGCGAAAGAGGCAGAACCCGTTACCGATTCCATTCCAACTCCTGCAGTTGCGGAAGAAGTCCTGGAAAAGGAAACCACTTCCAGAGACATTGAACTTCCTACTACTAATGTGACTTCAGCCGAAACCGAAAAAGATGCAGAGGTTGAGAAGAAAGTGGATGTAGAGGAACAAGCCCAGAAGACTGAAACAGCTGAAGCAAAACCAGAGGAAGCAGCAGAGGCAATCAAAGACGCCGAAAAGCCGGATGCTCCTCCAGTTGAAGTTGCCAGGGAATTAGGAGATGAGGACTTGAAGACTAAAAAAGAAGAGGCTCCTAAAGAAGAAGTTCCAGTGAAGAGTAAGAATTCGGGCAACATTCTATCAAAGATGAAGCACACCCTAGTCAAAGCTAAGAAAGCAATCATTGGGAAATCCCCAGCAAAAACACCAGTCCCTGAAAGCAAAGAGGAGGTCAAAAGCAGCTGAGTAAAAATTGATTCCAGTGACCGTGAACATAAAAGAGGAATGGAAATGGATACTGTAGAAAAGAGTAAAGAAGGGAGTAAGTTCCTTTTCGTGTGTGAATTATATTTGTCATTCTTTTCAGATTGGTTTTATTTTGTTTTGGTATTTTACTAGTGGAGTTCCAAAAAAATTATTCATTGCTAGAGAGGGAAGATTGTGTACTAGTATTTTGTTTGTTCTGTGTTTTTAGTGTGTATTTTGGTTTGAGAATATGGATGAGCTTAATTAAAAGTCAATTTGTTGAGGTGTTGTGTATATAGATATGTAAGTAAAACTGTGAATACTATTTTGCCTATTGAACTTGCCAGTGGTAACATTCATTACAAGCACTTTATTTACCGAAAATAAGAATGAATTCCTATGAATAGACGCAAACCTCTATGTTGATAATGCAAGTGTGTACTACTTATTTTTATACCACAATTAGCACTCTAGCTTCTGGTTTACTTCAAAGAGGAAAATTAATACACATTTTTGCGTCTTAGTATAATTTTCATTAATTCAGACTGAACAATCATTTTTCATTCCGAAACCAAAAAAAAGTAATACATGGATAACCCAAATTCACAATTACAATCAAGACAAGTCGTGCTACGACTTATTACGAGTAACATATCTGATAATAATAAGCTAGATAGACTCTTAAGTATTCGTTTATTTCACTGAATCGTGTATTAAAAAAAAAAAAAGACAGTCAAATCAGTTGAAGTTGTCAAACACATGAACACGTGCGAGTTTGCAAAAATAATTAAGGGTTCAATGTCGTCATGCTGAAGCAAAAGCCAACCAAATGTAATCCACAAAAGGACATGAAACAGCGAAAAAGTTAGCCCAAAATACAGCTGCAACTGCAAAGCACGGGCATTGCAAATTTTACAAGCACAACATTTGGATGCTTGCTTTTTAGGCTTGAAGCATGGTTCTAACTTCAATGATAAGGCTTTACTATTGTTTATGAAATGACTTCTCAAAAGAACCAACATTTAATCAGAGTTGTTAGCGGGCGCTTAATAAACTATCCAACCTGGAGGCATGAAGTTTGATCCGTATTGCTTGTTCCACCCGAGTTCAAGATAATCCCTCAAAAAAGGTTCTGATAACATCATTGGTGAATAAATTATTTCCTATTCTGGATCAAAAAAGAGTTGCTCTTACAGCAGAGTTCATCAATCCTAAAGATTGTACATATCAGGATATATTACACTGTGCAGCTTCTCATTTACAGTCCTGAAGTTAGAATTCAGATGGTTACTCGGGAAACCTTGTCCTCAGCTTCGACTACAAAACACAAAAAGCTCATCTTAGTTATCATAGGTTTTCTCTGGACATGAAGCGCGGCTACTTGGTGTACAAGAGTCTAAAAATTTCATGTAACCACCCAAGATTACTCTCCCTGTAGCTCTGTTAAGTCACCCGCGGAAAATGAAACATATTGCCTCTTCATAAAATTTCTTCTGTTGAATCGCGAAACTTCCTAATTCGTGATATGGAAAAGAGCAAGGGTAGATGATGCTATGGACCTTTGCTAGATACAACATCACTCGTAAAGTTATCGGCAGCAGCAGCACTAATGGTTGATGGTCGATCATCCTTTGGTGCCAAGACAGAGTGGTCTAAATCCGCGTTTGACACATTTGTTGCTTGCAGCTGTGCCATGAGAAAAGAGAGCATATGATGAGGAGATGATAGATGAAGATACTAAGAAAGTCAAATCCCCCGTTGAAGCATGCATAGTTTCCATCTCCAATAACTCAATTTCAGTGCTACAGACAGAGAGGAGGCTAAGCACGAAAAGAACATATTCTTGATGAGCCCAGAGCCCCAGAACAGCAAAGGGAATCAAAGACAAGAACAGAGAGCATACAAAGGAAAGAATTTGATAAAGTTACAGAGAAAAGACAAAGCCCAAAATTTAAAAAAGTAATATAAGGGAAGTAAAAGAGATAGTTAAATAGCCTAATTTTCCCAGAATTAACAATTTCCAAGTCACTATAAAAACAAGTTTGGCTAAAAAAAAAAGACCCAAAAAAACAAACAACCGATCCATACTATTCCATTCAAAAAGGTGTGCAAATCAGGTAACCCGCAGGTCAAGCACTAACCTGATTGGTTATCTGATTCATCGAGCTGCTAGCATCGGCATTTCTAGCTAGCTGTGAATTTTCATTATGCAGTGGCTCTTCAGAATTCAAGGTCGGGGATGTACTCGGAGCTTCTACAGGGACCCCCGATGTTGTGGTACTCAACCCCATAGCTGAACTTACAGGATCCTGTCCCATCAGGGGAACCAATGGAGCTCTTGGAACTGGCATAGGGAGTCCTTGACCTGGATGTCCAAAAACCTGGAGGTTTGCTCCAGCTATACCTTGGAAGGCAGAAGTCCCTGGAATAGGAGAAGGGAAATGTGCACCTTGCATTGGAGGTACCGGATATATAGGAAATCGTGGAGGTCTAGAATTCATGTTTAGCATTCCCATTCCGAAGCCCATTCCCATGCTCAATCCACCAGCCAAGGATGGAAAATGGGGAATATGAGCAGGGTGCATATGCTGCAATCCAGTAGGAAACATCATGGGGGGCATACACAAGCCCGCTCCCATTGACATCATCTGCGCAAAGAAAATGCAAGCTAAGTACGACATATAATTCTTTGAGGCCACCGATCTAAATCCCAGAAAAGCAAGTATAATCCTCCAGGGAAGTTAAGACCACGGAAGTGTTAACTCATGAAACCATCCCTCTAAGAAATTTGCAGAAACTTACCACCCAACCCAAGAAACTAAGTAAATCATGAAAGTTCAAACAGATGTTGGTAGTTCATGAAACCATCCCTCTCACAGTGACTTACTCTTTCAGAAACTTAGCACCAAATTTCAAGGCCACAGCAATGGATTGATGGGAGGCACCAATGGTAATCCCCACTAAGCAACAATAGAGACGTGAATAATAAAAAATAAAATCATTCGCTGTGTGGTTTGTCCAAACAATTTCAAGGCTAGACGAGTTTCTATCCCTTAAAGCAGGCTAACATGCTAAGAAACAACCAGGAAAACAGCCATCTAACTGATGGGATAGAAGGGTTTATGTAACATTTATTTCAGAGAAACCCTTCTAAGCTTCTTTTCTTCAACCAGGAAAATAATCCCAATCACAAATAAGTATATTGGTCAATTTTCAATCATGTCAAGAAGGTGAAGTAAACCCATATATACGAGAAAAAAGCGAGTCAAGAAGATCTATTTTTAGATCTACTGTACCTGAACTTGAAGTTGAAGTGTCTTCAAATACTCAATGGCTTCATCAAGCATTGACGCCTTGTCAGCCTTGCAATGATTATTCATGTTAGAGAGTTAGAAAATTATCAGAAAAGAAAAGAAAATAAATTTCACTATTTTCATTTTCCTAGGTCCCTTGAGAATCAAGTTCATATTTTTAGTACAAACCCAAGGCTCGAGAAAGAAACAACACATTGTAACCAAGAAAAGACAATTCAACTTCACATCTAAATTAACTAGAATACTAAGGGCCTTTTTGACACAACAAAAGCCAAATTTTCATCCCAATATATGGGTTTGGCTATGTGAACCATATATAAACATCAAGTATCATAACACATACTCATAGAGCCAGATCATGAAATATTGCATATAGCATAGTTCTTGTATTAAGCTCCTAATAGATCACTTCTTTCACGTTGCAATTATGATAACAAACCGCTTAGCACACTTTTTTCCTTCTGAATATAAGTCATTCAAAAACTTCTAGTTGTGCAGCTATTTTTCATATACAAACATGTTCATCTTGTCTATACACAACCAAAGAGAAAAGTTAAATTAAAATGACTATAAAGGTAAGCAAAGCAACAATCATATCATAAAGGTTATTACAAATACCTTATTGCAATTAGGTATAAGTTCTTGTAATGCACGCATCTTCTCGTTTATCCTATCTCTCCGTCTCTGTCAATTAATCACAAATAAAAAACATTAAAACCAATCACAAAAAAGGTAAACTAGTTTTTCTTTCCTTTCTTTTTTTTTCAAACGTCTTAGCTCACCCTCTCAGAGAGATTGTGCACTTCTGCAGCTCGGCTTCTCTTTGCACTAGAACCTCCTCGAGCATTATGTTTTTTCACACGAACAGATTCTTCTTCATTTTCCTGCAGATGAGATCACAAATTCATATTCCATTTGCTAAGAGGAAATCAATGAGAGTGAAGATTGCAAAAAAAATTGCTCAAATTTATCCCTTACTTCACTTCTTGATTCAGACTCATCATTCTCCCGAATCTTTCGCTTTGAATTACGGATCTGGTCATTCGAAGCTCCCTCACCACTGTACCCAGAGCATACGGAAGAAGCAGCAACAACATGTTCAGCAGGTTTCTCGGCATTTGTCGCTTCTTCTAGGATGCCAGCACCAGCTGCTTGGCTGGGAGATTTGATCACATTTTCCTGAAGCCGAGCATGAGATGGCTCCACATGGGACGACTCGTCCAACTCCTTAACTTCTCGTAGATTTATCTTGGATGAGACCAATTTAGGTTGACCGTGAAAATAAATTTCATTTGGTGAGCTACTGCATGGTTGAACATGTGAGGATTTGGTAGGAGTGCTACTACTTGCAGCTGAGAGCTTCTCACTTCCCATCTTCTGTACACCCGATGAACAGGAAGCAGTCAAGCAATCAGCTTTCTCCAAACTAGCTCTGGCAAGAGCAACAGGTTTGGAGAAATGCGAGAAATTCAAAGAACTGGTTCCACTTGCTTGCAGGCTTGTGTTCTGCTTCTGACTTTTCATGCTATTGAAATCATCAGCAGAAGCTCCGCCCTCCACTGAATTCCCATAAAAAGCAATTTTTCGGTTCCTTGTAGTATTTGTCTCTGCATTTGAAACTCCAGATCCAACTAGTGAAGGAGATGTTTGATCTTGAACAGGGAAGTATGAATTCAAGAAGCCTGTTCTGGAAGACACCTTTGCCACATTCCCCACATCCAAATTTGTGTTGTTATGGACTGGAACTACATGTGAATTCTGAAGGACATTGTTAAAATTTCCGTGAACCAATGACAAGAAACCATCATGGCTGGATGGATCATTATTCGTGATGCCAGAAATTTCTGCAGAAATTTCAGAGCAAAAATCCTCTTTAAAGCTATCATCTTCAGGTTCAGGATACTGTAACCAAGGCACCATCTCATCTTCTTGATTTAAATAAAAATCCCGTGATTGCACTGATGGTGGAGGATCACGGAAGGAGGAGACTGGAGCGCCAAACTTCTCAACTTTTGAAATGGTGGAATTTCCTGTGTATCTATCTTGAAGCCGAGGAAGAGGCTGCGATTGGAAATCATTTACCAGAGGACCCTTCTTAGCCCTGCAAGACTGACCTTGCATCATAATCTGACCATTTTCCCACACTAGTTCAACAAGCTCATTTTCAGGGCTGCAAAATTGTAAGAAAAATCCCATCACAGGTAATCAACAGTGAACATAGAACACAGGCATTGTCCTTCAAATGATTTAAAAAACAACCCCCATAGAATTGGAAACAAATGCAACTGGAAACAGAAAGAGACTTGCCCTGAAGATAATTCAGTAGGGGATGGCGCTTTTTCATGGGGAGATGCAATTTCTCCCCTGAACATTTGCAAAAACTCTCGGAGGGGCATGATGGAAAAAACAGTAGTAAATTTTGCAGCAGACAGAGAAAACTGAGGATGCCCTCTAAAAACTCTTCAGCAGCAAACACAGTGTGAACTCAAACCGAGCTTAAAGACTGAAAGCCTACAAACAAATGAATGACATCAACCATCACCGAAGTAACAATTATCACATCACTACAAGACATCTTTTAGTTGCATAAAAGAGATAAATCCGCGCCACAATTAAACGTGTCCATAATACATGTAAGAACATACTTAAGATACATGTCTTTTATACTGATGTCTGAATAAAGAAAGCTAAATAAAATATCCCAGAAACAGCAAAAATTAAAAAAATATTACTAATCAGTCAAACCAATTCTTTAAGGAAAGAGATAAGCTTCTTAAAAAAACCCAACAAATTGAACTTCTTTAGTTAAAGAAATCATCTTTTCAATTAAGTTCCAATCATTAGAAGATTAAACCACACGAGATTTTGTAAATTAATCAAGAAAACCACAGTTCTTTATCAATTTAAAAAAAATTAAATGATAACAGCCAAAGAGTAAAACCTCAAAGCTGCACAAAAACCCACCTCTTGAATTGAACTCCAAGCACCAATCTCAAAGATAGCAAGATTTCACCTTTCACAAATCACATCAATCCAATCAATCCCATTCACAGATTTCAACTGTGTTTTCTCTCATAAATGGTCCTCTCCTAAATCCACGAAAGATATCCATTCCATCTCTGAGCTGTGATAACTGTCTTGAACCCACCAATATTTCATAACCCACATGCCTTACATAGCTTCCCAAAAAAGATACAATCTTTACACAACCCACTTGGTTTTGAGTTCCAACAACTAAAGAAATGTACTTGATCAATAACAAAATGTATTCTTTATCGACTGAAATGAAGAGAAAGGAGATTGGCAGAAAGAGAAAGAGGAATTAGAAAAATGCAGGGGCTCGTAGAATACGGCGAACGGTTTGGTCGATTTGAAGTTCGCCAGGGGAAGCAAAGCAGAGCTCGAAAGCAGAACTATGAGTAGATTGAGTCTTGTTGGGTAGCAAAAATGTGAAGAGTACAACTGTATAAGTAGTAGGCTTGAAGCAGTAATCCAACATATACAAACAATTTATTTTGTTTTTTTTCCTTTTTCACCTTTTTTTTTTCCGTTCCTTCTTTTTTTGGTTATTGAAACTAATTTGAGAGTAAAGACTAAAGAATACATCCACAGGATTCTTTGTCATTTTTTAAGAGATGCTGAATTTCATTGAGGTTTTCTAAAATTTATTTTTCCTTTGATATTTTTTTGTAACTTATTCCTTGAACCTATTACAAATTTATATAGTTGCATTTCTTAAACAAGTGCTCGAAATATTTTAGTCTAATGAATATGACTAATTCTTTTTTATGTTTGGATTATGATAGATGTCCTTAATATAAGACATTTTGATTTGTCTTAGGTTTCACTTAGTATACATTTTCAATTGATAAAAAATTTAAAAATATATTTTCACATTTGTAGTATTCTTTTGATTGTTATGAAATATTTTAAAGATTTTTTTGTCAATTAAAAATACATAATAAGTGAAACTTTAGATAAATCAAAATGTCTTATACGACTAGAAGGATACTTCTTAACTTTCATGTTAAAAATTCAGTAATGCCGTTGTCGCAGTTTGGGGCAAACCTAGTATTTTATATACACTATTTTTTATATAAAAAAACAAACTATTTTTCTTAAATTACTTTGGACGTTTTTAATAAAGAATTTTACATTTCAATGCAAAAAAAAAAAAAAAAACACGCACACACACACACACAAAGACATTGAAAACATGTCTAGGTTATTTTCGAGTTTTCCTTTGAGAGACTGAGAGGATTACAAATCGAAGTTGGATGATTAAAGCTTATCTTATAAAGGAAAAAAAAAAAGAAGATTTAAAAAACGACAAAAGGGCAATGCTTTCTCTTATCAATTTTCATTATCCTTTGTGACTTAGTCTAATTGTACTCTGTTTTTCCAAGTGACCATCTTTGTCTGCCATCAAATCAATTATCAACAATGTTTTTATTTGAAATATAACCATCAAGTCAATATAAAGGGTTCATGACTTCATGTTAGAAAACTCTGAACCATAATATACATGATTTCTTTGGACCCAAAATTATGATCACGTTTGTTATATATTATTTTAGCATAATAAATATAATAATAATTATGAGATAAGAGTAATATAAATACTCAATTCCACATTTCTAATACAAAAAAAAGAGAGCCAATTTTATGCCCCCATTTCCCTTATGTTAATCATAAACACGCATCCATCTTCAACTTGCTGCTTAATTTACAATTTTTTGACACTTGATTTCTGTGTTGAGCAAACTATGCTTCGACATCGATCTAGGAAATGAGAAAAAAGTAAGTTGGTAGGAACAAGTTTGAAGATTAATTATGACCATCTTCTTTCTCGACAAAAAAAAACAAGAAAAGAAAAGAAAATAAATAAATACAATTCGTTCTTCTCCAAGTTCTTTGGTAAGGTACAATGCACGATGTCCCTGTTCTCTGCATATCATTTTTTTTTTAATGCTCTCTTGGTTTCTATTCTCTGAGTTTTAATATCTTATCCTAAATTGCTTTTCTATCCAAATTTTGTCACAATAGTGAAAATGACGTTGCGCACTTTTTTATATCATCATTTTCAGGTATCAATACTAATTGTCATTAAAAAAATCGCTTTTAATGACGACCACTATATATTATTACATTAGTATCTTCATTTTTTTTTAATCTTTCATTCTAGGGTAAATTCGGTATTTTTTAATCTGTTTTACTTTATTTCTAATATGACATTAAATTCAATTTTTTTCAATTTTATCCTAATCTCTTTTTATGTTTAATAACATATATTAACGACAACACTTATAGTTTACTTCAATATTAAAATTTTGTATAGTCTCACCTCCCAATATTTTTAATTAGGAATAAGAAATGTATTACACTTAAAAATTAAAAATCTCAAATCATTCTTTTCTTAATATACGTGCATACCCTAACGTGATAGATAAAAAAATATAGAGGTACTACGCAGATATTAAATTCTGATATCACTTGATAAATCGCCTACTAAACTTTAGAAAACTAAGCCCGATTCTAGTAAACTTTTGAAAAAAGTTTATCCTAGAAATGTATATAAGGGGAAAAAATGGTGCTGAATGGACATAGTTATCCTCCTGGTTAAATGTCGCAATCATAAAAATAGGCTTAATAATTCCGTCGCTGATGAGAGCTAACAGTTTTGAACCGTTGGCTTGATAAAATAAGGGTGTGGTAATAAATCAATGTTTCATTTTGGATAGAGGGTAAAAACTAAAAAGTAGAACTTTAATTGAAGTGATTATTGCATTATTCTTTTCATGCTTGCGAGGGACGCACCTGAGATAAGACGATGCAATCATTTTCCTGCAAAGTGAGAGGAAACAAAAATATATAATTAAAGAAATGATTAGCAAAGAGCAGCTTTACTTAATTATAAGTTGACTAAACAAACGGCCATAACTGCCCTTTTTGTTGCTGCTAGTATGTGTAGCTACGTATCGTCTGAAAAATATATTCAGTGCAGCCGTAATCCATTATTAGGATTATTATTTAAATGAGTTGAAGACGTAATACTGCTATAATCTAGTATTTATAAACAAATTAGGGACAAACAAAAATCACTGCTTTTGCTTTTTTAAAACGTACTCCCTCCGTTCCAAAATAAGTATCGTTCTAGAGTTTGCACACAGTTTAAGAAAATATAAATAGAGTAACTAAATTACTAGAATATCATCAACCAATCCCATTAAAAATAAATGCTTACCAATAATATTATTTCTTTTAAGGGTATGTTTGGAAATTTTTGACAAAAAATGCATTGGAATCTGAAAACGACACCTATTTTGGAATTTCTCCATTTTGCCAAAACGACACTTATTTTGAAATGGAGAGAGTATTGTTTTTGTAGGGCCAGTGAAGTCAACTAAAGTAGATTGAAAGAGGATAAGAGATACTTACGGTAAAAGCCACTAATTAATCTACTCAATAATTCTAGTTAAGAACTATTCCAGGCATGTCAATTCTCTTTTACAAATTACTCTTTCCGTCCCAAAATATAATCATGTTTAGTAGTTAAAAATCTCGAAAACTCAATGTAAATTATTTTTCAGGGACGGAAAAAGTACAAGACCGATAAATTCTTGATCTAACCAAGTTTGCCAACTAGACATTCCTTTATTTCCCCTTTCTCTCTTCTCTCCCTTCTTCTCCTCCTCTCTAACACTCCCACTAAAAGTCACCACCTCCAAGCCCGCCCCCTCCCCACCCCTAAAATAACACTACCGTCTCCTCCATCCACCATTGGTGGATTGGTGGACAGGGGAAGACAAGTTTTTCTTAAAATTTTAAAATGTTTGTTTTTTATTTTTGACTTTTTATGTTAGAATATGGTGTTTTCGTGGTCGGTTATAATAGGTAGGGGCGTGAGTGTGTGTTTGGTTGGTGCTTGTCTTGGTAGGTTGGAGATTTTCCTTCGTTGGCTTTGAGGCGAATCCATGAGTGGAAGAACGCTAATCTACCAATATTTGTTTTCTCCTTTTTTTTTCTTGTTTCATATATACTGTCTCTTATTTTTTAGGAAAAAAAAAAAAAACAAGTTTGCCACCAATAAGAAGATGTCCGGCACTTCTGTGAAAGTGTTAGACCCCGATATCATATATCCAATATAGGTATGCAATGTACTTTTGATAAATTCTCAAGTAGGCATAAAGAGAGTGGTCGCTTCTCTCCAAATCAATATATACTTCCCTGGCGAGTGATCTTTGATAGAATTAAAGAAAAAAAATCACTATCGATCTAATTTTGCTATATATGATATATATATATATATATATATTCTTGTTCTCCGTCATATCTTTTTTTTTTCCCTCTAAATGATGCAAAATGCTGGTAAGTTTTATTATACTCATTCTGTTCCAGAAAAACTCAATGTGGATTTTTTTTTTTTTTTTGGCAAGAGGTAATATGATGCAATGTTAATTTACAACTACATCATTTGGATGCAATTTTCATATTTTCAAAAATCCCACGTCTAGAAATAGATTGGTTTGGAATAAAAGACTTGTTTAGTAGTCGTTACATAGAGAAAAAATGGCGATAATCAATCTGTTTAATAAAGTTCAACAGATGGCCAAAACTTCAAAGCGTTAACATTCTTCTGCTCATGGCTGGAACTGAAATGGAGACTGTTAATATTTCTTGATTAGACCGTCCAATCTCTAATAACTAATAACTTTGTCACAAAATGAAAACATGCATGGTTGTAAACTGTAATCATCAACCACTTTATTAAACTTCAAACAATAAATTTTATTTTATGTTTTTATTTCTCATCCATTTCAGTTCACCATTTATATCAAGATCTCAATCATCATCATCATCATGCGCTCATAACCAGAACGGATTGTTTTTCAGTGTTCTTTTTTGTTCTGAAAAGATTGATTATTTATGAGATTTTCATTTGCAATATAATACAAATTATAATGAAAGTAAAAACTCAAATCGAACAATATTTTGGAACCGATCAAAGTGTACTACTCAAAGTGAACCGTCCAATCTCTAATTAATAACTTCCGGATACCAATCTCAAAGATCATCGTGGGCATGAGGGTGTGTGTGTGTGTAATCTTTTAATATAATTTGAATAACACTTTCGTTATCTATCTGTGCCAATATTACGCTCTTTTCTTACATCTTCAGAAAATTAATCTAATTCCAATTCTTGAAATAAACCCCATAAATTCAACTTCATTACAGGAGCTGACCTGACTGACACCAAAAATGAACCCACCCCAAAAGAATAAAAAAAATAATAAAAAATCTTCAATTTGAACCTGATGGATATTGTTGGTCAAGTAAGTCGAAATGGCCGGTCCAATCCGAATTTAGCACAATACAAAATTGCAAAATCATATATATAAATGTGGGTAGTAGATTTTTGGGGTGGTAAATTTCCAGGTGGACCCAGGCATGAGAAAGCAAGTGATCCTTTCCACCAAGTCAAAATCTAAGAGGACCCCTCCCTCCTTCTTTCTTCTGCTGCTTGTGTGGCCAATGGCCATGTGGACGCCGGATACTACAGAATTCGATTTCTGATCAGATTTGCCTTTGATTTTTGAAGGGCACCCTGCCCCACACACCATACATAATAACCTGGTGGGGATACCCTAGTAGTTAGGGCACCCCTTGGCTGTCTCCATTTCATGAATCCCATACCTGAAACTCCAGGAACTGTTTGTTGGCTTCACATTTTCCTAATTCTCCGTCGTCCTTTACAACCAAAAGAACCAAAAAAAAAAAAAAATGTGGGTTGAAATTTGTAGTATTTGGAAAGAAGAAGGAAGAATTGGTACGTAAAAATTAAGTGGCTGTGGATGATGATGATGATCAGGTGAAGTGATGGGGAAATTCACGTGCTGTTTGGTGCAATCCGCGTGACTTTCCCCCCTTTTTTTTTGTCCTATGATTCTTTCCACTGGTCTTTATCGCAACCAAAAATTACAAAAAAAATTTTTGAACCGAAAGATGTCACCAAAATGAATCGATTCCACTAGATTTTGTGCTTGTTTTCTTTTTTGGGATTGATTTTTATGATCGAATGAATTCGAGGCTAACATTATTATTATTTTTTGTTTTTTGGCTTCATTTATAGCATCACCCTGGACCGCAGCCTCGGTGGCGGAGATTGTGGTCATCCATGAAATATGGAAACCTGTGTGATAGATTGATATATAGGACGTGGTACCCTACGTAGTGTGTACGAGGTTTATATATTTAGCTTTTGCCTTCAACTAAGTTAGGTTCAAATGATTGTCATGCTTGTAATTATCATATTTTGATTTATTAAAACTTCTGTATGTTCATATCAGTCAGGAAAATATTTGTCTATCCCATACAATAAAAAAGATTATTATTTTTATTTTACTAGTTTTACTTCAACAAAATGACTAACGAAAGGAGTATTTTTTTTGTCTCTCTATTTAATAAGAATAATAGTAACCAAAAAAAAAAAAAAAAGGAAACCAAAATCTAACACGTTAAAGTACAAGTTCCATGATGAAGTGATCCCCATTGTAAAACAATGAAAACCCTCTTGGTCTTGGCTTAATGTTGCTGAAGACTTCATATAATTAGGTTCGCTGCCCACTCAACCGAACATGTGTTCCACTACTTTCATAGTCCATTGTCTACTCTTGTCTCAACCTCTCATATTTTTACGAAATCGTAGCATTAGTCAATTCTTCCTCTTACTCATAGCATTATACTCTCTGTGTTTTAAAATAATTGTCTTATTTCAATTTTTTATTTTTATTAAGTAAACTCGGCCATAAATTTCATACGGAGGGAATTTTTAAATTCATTGTTAGTCACAAGGAGATTTCATATGAAATATGTATATGTCAGTATTTCAATAAGATTAATCTTCTTTTTTTAAAAAAAAAAAAAAAGAAGTGAGAGACACAATATTATGACTATATGAGTTGGTTGCGGACCTGCGGAAACCAACCAAAAACAAATGCGAATTGGTTATCCCTCAACACAATCATCAATAAATCTATATATCTTTTGCTGCGCTCAGTAACACTAAAATTTAAGATGACAATCCGCGGAACAGAACATGAACTATAATATTAGTACCTGAAAACATGGCCAAGAGGGACACATATACATACGATCACTATATCTAGTTGTATGTAACTTTGGGAAAACAATGTAAATCGCCTCGAGAAGGTATAAACTGGATCATGTGCAGACAAAAACCATGGTTTTCCCACTTCCCATTTTAGTGCGTGACTGTGTGTACAAGGTGGCATATACATTTGACCCAGAATCCAGATAGATAGACAATATGATGATATCATAAAAACCTACTAATTCAAAACATTATGGAGCCGTACTGCGCTAGCTGCAGAGATATGGGAAGAAACCAGGGCGGGCTAGCTACCCTGGAGATAATGTAGATTAACATGATTTGCCCCACCGCCCCCAGCTTGTCAGGCTAAACCCGTTCTCATAGCCCGCGAATTCATTATGTGAAATGTTTTTTCTTTTTTTTTTTCACAAAAATGATACAATTAGACTGTTTTTTTTTTAATTATATATATATATATATATATTTATTGCACGGTGTCCATCGTCAGCAACAATAATTAATTCCTCCCGCTCATGCTGACCAAATGATTTAAAATTACTCCATGTACATAACGAAATTAGAACATCGACTTATGGTTAAAGATGTAAGAGTTTTTGCCATTCTACTACAACCTTTGGGTTGATACAATTTTTTTTTGAATAAATGCAATGAATTCTTCTTCTTCCTTTTTTTTTTTTTCTATATTATAGGTGTTATATTGTTAATTGAATCATTTTATTGAATAAACAATGATCTGGATAATTGCACCATTTCATTTATTCATCCGTGCGTAATACTCCATGAGTGCTAGCTACTTTAGCATCTGCATATCCGATTGTCTCTGCCTTTTCCTGCAAGCCTGCACATGCCCACTTGTACAACAACCATATGCATGCAACTTGATATTGATCATCAGACATTATTTTTGACTTGAACCCTAATTTCCTCATCCATCATATATATGTACATGCATGCGTCTAAATGGACATCCGCCGGGACTAAGTTCTAGACTAACTGAACGAGTGAAAGTCAATCGATCACGAAAGAATTATCCTTTCTGTGGCTCTTATAATTTTGGAACGAAAAGAGAGTAAATTGAATGTGTTTTGGTTAAATAAGATGGTGAGATATGCCCACTCTCTTATAATCTTATAAAGAATTTCTAAAATATTGTAAAAATAGGGTTTATTGTGTGAGGCAATCCAAGAAATAACAAGATTATAAGGTGTATATTGCTCATCAATTATGAATAGAGCCGACACGTAAAGATTTGGGAAAATGCCATTCCTTCATATGTATTGTTTAATGTCTCATGTCTTTGATACATGAAACAGGAATCAATCATTTGCATGAAATAATTATGGAAGAGGGTCGAATTTGGTGGACGGCTTGGTGATAATGGCAAAGAAACTTCCTCAATTTAAAAGGTCCCCCACCTGATAGGATTCATTCGAACTGAAAATTTTTACCATCAAATTTGATTTTCAGGGATAACAAAATTTAATCAAGCCTGAAGCTAGCTGCAGACATGAATGCAGTGACAACTATGCCAGATTGTCTTCTAGGTCTTGCTTTTTCTTTTTCTTTTTCTTTTTTTTTTCCCTATTCTTTACTATTACACAGATGAGATTTTTAAATAGAGATGACTATAAAATACTCCATTCGTCCCAAAATTATTGTTCACTTTGAATTTCACTTTTAGTTCAGTTCATACTAGCTACTCCCTCAGTCCCAAAATTATTATCCAATTTGAGATTTCGCTTTTAATATAATTTGAACTAGAAATGAAAACCCAAACTGGACAATAATTATGGGACGGAGGGAGTATAATAAAAGTCCAAAACTGGGTAATTACTCTTAGACGGAGATGGAGTACTATTTAACTTGTGTGTCTATCTTTAGACTTTGTTAGGTTTGCCAAAGTGATGAATATCGAACCCAGAGGACTTGGAAGACTATAATGACTGTTTGTTCCGCAAGCATTTTAAGAATATCTTTTCAGGATGGACCCATGTAGTAGTATATCTCTCGGGCACCCACTCCTACGACTCCAACCTCTCATTATGCATTTCATCGGAGATCATTTTTCTCTTGAGTACAGGATGTGAACTTGACATTATGTCCCATTAATTGCAAAACTAACTCAGTATTTCGGTAGGAGTGTTTATTAATCATAGAACTCAACAAATGTAGATGTAGTGCTTATAACACAAAAACAAGGTCTTAGCAGATCGCACAACTAACCCAACCCAACCCAATCAAAAGGCTGCTGCGCGCAAATTGGCCCCTTTGGTTATGCTGATGAAATCAATACATGAGAATTGCTTCACTTCTGAATGCTGGTCAGCTTGCATGATTAGCCCAGCTTTTCAGATGAAAATTCATTTGTTCTACCAATTGCCTTATATCAGCTTAAGAAGTTGAACGAGTAAATCTTCGGACAAAAGCTCCATTTTCCAGGAATCGTATATATATACTCTTCCCGTCCCAAAACAAATAGTAGTAACATTGCTGTGGAGATGAAAATGAAAAGCTACAATCGTTTCCTCTCTGTTTCTGAGGGAACACCTCCGTCCGCTTGCGTCTTACGTACAAGAATAACCAAAGAAACCTGTGTTACAGATACATTCCTCCTAATGCACTCTTTGAAACCAAAAGCCGATGTGTAGGTACACTGCTCCAAGAGATTAAAGTACAAGCAGTTCCATGTTTCGAGCAAAATTTTATCCCCAGAACAAAATGCATACTCAGCGTGTACATATTGTATTAATTGATATCTAAAATTATGATGATACATGAGACTCTGCAGCATGACACGATCACTGGGTACCCCATTACATATATAGCTCGGGATTTTCCCGAGATTGTATTAAAGGTACACCATCTTCACGCCACATTATCCTCTCTTCACATAATGCTGCTACAACTTCCCTGTATAACTTGTGTTCCTAATAACAAAGGTGCATGTCAGTGGGCTGGCAATTATTATGCAAAACTAACGTAACAATGTCGTCAGGTGTCTGTAAAGGGGAACTACAAATATTTTAACATGAGGAAATTACCAAACAGCAGTTCATCTTGAGTTCAAAGATGTATGTAGTGTTGCTAGGAACTCAAATCAAGAACCATAGATCAAATCTCAAGAAGCCAATAATTTTAGGTCATCACAACCAGTTAGCGTGTAACGTTGAAGGTTAAAGTATGGCACCTCGTGAAGTACTCTTCCAGCAAGCTCTTCAGCTGTATCATTAGGAAGCACTGGAACAATCCTTTGGGCAAGAATGCGTCCTCTATCATATTCCTCATCAACATAATGTATAGTTGGACCTGAAAATCTGAAAAGGAACAGAAAAACGGGGTATCAGTATACATCATTTAATTTTGAGGAAAGGTAAAACATTATTAAATGGTCACCAGCTTTCAATTGTTGTAACACAGTTCAATAAAAGATTATTCTGGGGCAGATTGCTTAACAAATTTGGACTTGTTTATAGGTGGTGGTGCAACCAACAAAGTATTGTAATCCGGTTTACAAAAGAATTTCTTTCCCTTTAACATTGCAAACTGCCTAAGTAATAATACATATATGTTGCAAGAGTTAGGATTCACCTAGCTCCGGAAGAAATGACTGCTTTATGGACCTTCGTACCATAAAACCCTTTGCCTCCAAAAGCAGGAAGAAGTGAAGGATGTATATTCAGTATGGATCTCGGAAAAGCTTGAACCAATTCTGCAGGTATGAGCTTCAAAAATCCAGCTAAGAGTATGAAGTCGACATTGTAGCTTCTGTATAGCAAAACACAGGTTAGCAAGAATAAAGTATTCATTCACATTTCTTCATTTATAAATGTAAATTCTCGGCACAAGATAGTTTCTTGAAGTTACAATATTTGTTCAATCCATTTCAAAACACGGATTGACCATGATTTTTTGTTTTTTTGTTTTTTTTTTAAAAAAACATCATTCTTCAACTAGGATCAGCAAAAAAGGAAGATGACTATGGTTTCAAATATCTTTGTTCTTCAACTAGGATCAGTAAGGAAGGAAAAACCAAGAACCAAAAACTTCAGCAAAACTGTTTATCATGATTAGAAACAAACGGACGAGCCACGGTGAAGAAAGAATCCATTACTATCTACAGCCACATGTTTAAATCAACTCAAACTTCACCTACTGTTCAATTCTCACAGAGGATAGTTACAGATGCCATATATTTTCAAATAAGAACTACTAGTTTTCTACGTTACAAAAGTTCACAACGGATACTAATACGTGCAGTCAGAGACTCTGTATCACTCTTCCCATCAATGACTTTAGAATCTAGGACAAACAGGGGCATTAAACTAATTTCTCTGATATACTTTAAAACTCCAAAGATTAAAAAGATTCTTGGGAAAAATAAAAATAGCGTACCTCAGTTCATTCACAAGATCTATTGGAGATAAACCAGAACCATCTTTCGATTTAGGGAACAAAATCACAGGGATGTCATTGTCTCTAGCATACGCGGCACCCCCACAGTCTGCATACATAATACAGTTTGCATAGCAGGTAAGAAAAGTATTTGTCTCTCTTAGGACTCAGTCATATGTTTCTTTGACAGATGGTTCACTAAATCAGCTAAAATCATAAATCAAACCCTACAACTATCATAACAAGAATCTTATGACATCGCGTAATCAGGGGAATGCGTCGGATCAAACAAAATCTGACAAAACCTAAGATTGACAAGAAAGCAAGGAACTTTTCCTTCTATCAAACACTAGAGTTAAAAATCCACATTGGTTAGTCACAAAAAGATCCGGCCTAAAAAAGCATGGAAAGAATGGACGTGAATGAAGAACGTACCAGGTTTATTAGTGACCAAGACATTAATGTCTCCATGAACAAATCCATTGACAGCAGCCTCATGTAGCGATTTGAAATTGGAACCACCACCAGAAACAAAAACGGCGAGACTTTTCCTCCTAATTTTGGACTTCATATCATCTTCTGTAACAGGTTCATTCTGTAATTCCTTAACACATGCCCTAAACTTCAATTTTGTCTTGGTAGCTAAAGAACTAAAAGCAAAAGAACAGCGGGTCCTAGAGGAAGCGACTAGCGTTGTGGATAAATATGATGGGACTATCGAATTATGAATGGAGGGTTTACAAATTGTATACTGAGACCTCAACAGAGAACTTTGAGCATCCATTTTTTCAACACTATTTTATGAGCAAAAAAAAAATCACTTCCACCCTTTATCCTAAAATAGAAGCATATGATGAAAAGTTTAATTTACCTAAATAACCAAAATGGCCGAAACTGGCACCGGAGAGGGGAGGTGGGGCGGCGGCAAAGCTGGTGCCGGAGGCCGGAGTGGTTGCTGGTGAAGAAACTGTGAAAAGAAAAGAACCTGGAGTGCTGGGCCAAAAAACGAAATTGGCGGGCTAAGGAACGGGCTAGGCTTGACGGGCTTAGGCAACCACCAGCCCAGACCATCTCAAACGAACTCTTCTTTCTTTTGTCTTTTTGTTTTTTAGTTTTTTATAATATTTATAAAAATCCCATGAACGAAATGTGTTTACCGTTTTTTAATCACTTGTTACCAAAACCAAATAATAAATAAATAAAAATCACGATTTAGACAATTTATGTGTATAGTTATGTTATCTTTTGATGAGGCCAAAAATATTTAGGAGTTACGATTTTCTAATACATTTTCACAACATTGATATAGTATCTATAAGTTGTCCTTAATTAAATACTACTTCCTTCGTCCCAAAAAAATAGTCTACATCGAGTTTTGAGTTTTGAGTTTTGATTTTTGTAATATTTTTAGTATAAATTTGAAAATTCAATGTGGACTTTTTTTGGGGACAGAGGTAGTATCAATTAATTAAATCATTTTATTAAATTGTCTAGATACATACACACCTACCCCCTGAATATCTTTCATAATGACGAGGTCCAAATATCTGGGATTTTAATGTGTCAATCTGGCGCCAAATCTGTTTTTTTTTTTTTTTTGGGTAATGTACTTTAATTTTTTTTTACAAATATAGAAGAACGAATTTATGATGGAAATTGTGATATGCTTCCAGATTGAATTTTGCATGTTTTTTTTTGGTAACTGGCCAACCCACCCGATGCTGTAATTTCTGTTTAATTACACTAATAGCATAAATGTATTTTTATAATTGCTATTTCGTTTAAATCTAAAGAAAATTCACCTGCCTCGTTGACTTAACCAACCAAATTCGAGCTGTCATTTTCCCTCCCAAAAACGGCACTGGAATTATTAGAATGCTACGGTCTCATTTCTGTAAAAATAATCGATTTTCTTGTGGATAATTTCGTCCAAACTACTAATGCCTAACAAATGTGGTGTGCCTAAATTTTTTTAATTTTGAAAAAACCAAAAGAGAAAAAGTAACAAAAAAGGGGAGAGATGTTCTGTTAGTACGTATATACAATTGTTCTATTTGGTGTACTGAAAAATAACACAAAATCTCAAACAATCAATTCATTTTTTTTTTTTTTGGGGGAAATGTTTATACATTGTTTGAATCATAAAATAAAAAAAATCTTCCTGTGTGGCTAGCCAATGGCTAAATGATGATGATGGTGATAAGTATAGTAAGAATGAAACAGGAATATCTTGGGAGCATTAAATTGCAGTGTTAAGAACTAACCAAAAAATATTCTCCCTTTTTCTACTGGAATTGATAATAATAATTGGGATAGCAAACAAGAAATATCTGCAAATAGAGAATCATAATACGTATCTTTGGCATTAAATTGTCACACATGGAAATTTCCATTATATATAGCAATCATCCATATCAAACAAGAAACCATCATCACTCAAGAATTCCATATACTTCTTCTTCCCTTTTTCCTTGTCTCATATCTCCTTTTTGTGTGTTAAGCAACAAACAGGAAAAAAAAAATGACTCGTAAGAAGGTAAAACTTGCTTACATAGTGAATGATTCAGCAAGGAAAGCCACGTTCAAGAAGAGGAAGAAAGGCCTAATGAAGAAGGTGAGTGAATTGAGTACTCTATGCGGGATCGATGCCTGTGCCATAATCTACAGCCCTTATGATGCTCAGCCCGAGGTGTGGCCCAATCCGGCTGGAGTCCAGCGGGTCATTGCTCAGTTCAAGAGGATGCCGGAAATGGAGCAGAGCAAAAAAATGGTTAACCAAGAGAGTTTCATCCGGCAGAGGATTGCTAAAGCCGGTGAACAGCTGAAGAAACTTCACAAAGAGAACCGGGAGAAACATATCACGGAGGTGATGTTCCAATGTCTGACCGGAAAAGCGGTTCAAGGAATGCCTATTGCTGATCTCAATGACGTGGGGTGGTTGCTTGATCAGAAGCTCAAGGAGATTCACAAGAAGATGGAGTCCCTCAAGAGATCTCCACCCGATCCGCCAGTTGTGTCGCTGCCGCCGCCACCACCGTCGATGGCTGCTCCTCCTCCCCCTCCTACTACTCCAGGGGCAGCTTCGTCATCGATGCAGGTGGGTATGGATGGTCCCCACAGGACACAATGGTTTGGTGATTGGATGAATAACCCTAATGATCAAAACATGGGTTTTGGTAATGGGGAAGAGATGCTGATGCAGTTTCCTGATAACCAGAATTCTATGTGGAATAGTGCTTTCTTCCCTTGATTAATTCAAGTTTGAACTAAGAAGGATTTGATTGATCACCATATATATGTGCTTGTCGAGCACATATAATTCTCTAGGTTTTATGTTTTAATAATTTGTGTCGTTTCTTTTTCTTTTTTTTGTTTCTTATGTTTTTTTTTCGTGTTATGCCTTTAATATGTTGTGCTGTTTAATCATTGTTTGATCTTATATTTGGGAGTCTGTAAGCCGTTATTTCATATTGTCATGTTATAATAAACTACGAGTCTTTTATTATCCCAATTGATTGATTTATATGATTTTCAGAGTTCATCAAAAAAAAAAAACATCAAACTTGATTGTTGGTTGTAATCCGACTTGAAGAATATGTCATAACAAAATAAAATCGACCTTCCAACTGTACAAAATCTGGCGTAACATATGATTGTATCATGTAAAATGAGATATAAATCAAATTGAACAAGTTTTAAGGTCACGACTTTTATTGTGATCGTGGCTAAAAGTTCCATTGAAAATAAGAAAACAGAATTACAGAAGCATAGACTTTTGTCCATATATAAGACATGAATTAATATACGAAGCCGCTACAATTCCTCTTTTTTTTTAAAGCTAAAATTTCTTACAGACCTTTGAAGTTTATATAAACTAATCAACAATAGTAAGTATAAAGGTTGTTTATATGTAAATATTGTGTACCTTTCTAATATTTATGAATCTTTTATTTTGTTTTTCTTTATTTTTGTCCAACTATTATAACATTTTGACAATGATGTTCATTTTGTTTTAGTTTTTCCTTTGATAAACTACAAAATGAGCAAAGAAGTTAATTTCGTTATTATGTATTCTTTTCGGAGTGTATAGTAAATTTTATTAGCACGTGAAGAATTACGTGTATATCACGTAAAAGTTCATTGTTGCCGGATGGTTATAATTGTTTTTTCTATTTTAAATAGTACTATTATTTATATATGTATATATCACGTAACGCGTTTGTTCTATATGAGAAATTTTATGATTCTGGATCGCTCTATAAGACTTATATTAATGAACTTAGCTATTATTATATGTGATCGTTAATAGACATATGTCCTTGAGACATAGGGGGTAGTGATATCAAAGTTTTCATATGAACTTTTTTTTTTTTAAAGATGGATGTGATGAATCTAATATTTTCTCACAATTAACTTGAAATAAGAGAAATGCCAAACTAAGGTCCTAGGGGGGGTAAATTTCCTCCCACTATGTAAAAGTTTAAATAATTAAACAAAATTTCGATAATTTCACCAATATTTGGTTCATTAACTTTATTATTTTATTGTTCCATTACGATATTGAACCCCGCTAATTATTATTTTCGGTCCCTTCAAACTGTATATGTACCTTAGGTGGTCTTGATTGAATCCTTTCACAAAATTGAAGTACTATTGGACTTCTCTTTCTTTTTTTCAAGAGTTTCAATAAACTGTTTTAGCAGTACTTATATATGATTGAGTAGAGCATTGTTGTTTTTATTTCGTTTTTTTTTTTTGGGGGGTTGATGCTTTAATTTTTACCGAAATGTTAAGCTTAGTGGTATTAAATTTGCTTCTTTTGTGTTATAAATTGTTATCGGATTTTACGCCTTTGGAGATTAATTTAGCTGTCAGATTTAAGTTAATACAAAAAAAAAAACGTTATTTATTGGTATGGAGCCGTTTGGATTGGATCAAAGAATAAATTTGCATATGAAATAGATTGGATTACATTTCAGAAAATTTATGAAACTTTATAAACTACATAAAAAGACCAAGAACAATATATATATATATAAGAAAAAACCAAAAAAAGATAAAATTACCCGAGGCAAATAGACGAGACTTGAGTAAATTGACCAACGGTTGACATTCTATATCATGCAGGTTCGAATTTCGATAGGTTTTGCGAAAAAAAAAAGTAGTATTATTAGTCTATTACAGAAGGGTGGGTTAGTTTGATTAGATCTGCTTTTCAGAGTTAGTTTTTTGGGCTTCGTTAATTTCAGGTTTTGCTAATTAACTGCATTTTCTTTTATTATTGAAGTGGGTATGTATATTTGACTGTTTTTAACTAACTGCAATTTGTTTGGTTCATTTCTTAAATCGTTCGAAGCAATGAATGAGAGTTGGTGTTTGTATATCACTGTCCCTAACATGTTTTTTTTAATTATTATTTAATTTCACGCTATTATAAACACGTAGACTATTACAATTTTTAGATTGTTTTGATATCGATTCCTTATTATTCATTTATTACTTTATTAGAGTTTTCGTCGCAAGTTAAAGATAACGTGTCAAACAATTAACCCAATTTAAATTAATGGTACGGACACAAAAGTTACATAGCAAATACTTCAAAATGGTAAAATAGATGGCCATATATATGTAACAGTAAACTATGCTAATTAATGTAAGCATGCTCGTATTTCTCTTTTTAATCTTTTTTTTACAGGTGATGACAAGAGGAACCCTATAAAGGTAAAGCTTTACTTATCAATCAAAGAAGCATTTTATTGCGCTTGTTTTTATCCTAATCTGATCCATTTTTCTCATTCTAAACTTTATCCATCTCATTTTAGAATCTAACCCTAACTTATAGTACTGCCATTTACTATAAATGTAATTGCCAACGTCTATGGAATATCAACATGTTTCGAGGGTTAAGATAATTTTTTTTTGGGGGAACGCAACAGTTTGTATCACTTTTTATTTTTGTGTGGCTATGCACATGCTTCCATTTCCATACACCGCAATATAGAAACTAATTTGTCCTTATTAACCTGATTTGCAATGGTGATTCTTGAAAGCGTTTGATAGAAAATAAAGCAGAGAAAGTAAAATTGATAGTACTACAAAATAAAAGTTGAAAGAACAAATTATTATGTAAGTACTAAATTTGTAGTGGAAATGGAAGCTTGGATTGGATCGGTGGGCTGAAAAGAAAACTTGTCGAGTACATTATGTATATATATGATTGAACATTCATTAAAAAAGAGTCTTAAAAGTGATTGCAATACTTGAAAAGAGAGATCGACCCTTGCGAAATTTAGATGGTTTTCCTCCAATGAATGAACCTTACAGCTGTATTGAGAAGGAAAAATAAATAAAAATAAAGAAAGGTGAATGAAAAGCAGTACTATAGCTAGCTACGTACAAGAATCTTTTGATTAATCTAGTCATTCTAGTTTCATATGTTTATTTTATGCACATATTTGCAACAAAGAAATATGATACTGATTAAAATGAATAAAACAACGTAACCGTTCACTAATTGGTACTATGCCATTGATCGTGACAATTATTTGTCGTAGTTTTTATCAATCTTCCACAAAAGTTAATGATATACATTAACCAATTTGTAATTAATAATCAATCTCATGATGAGATCAGGGATTTATAGTCCTTTTCATCACCAGCTACTGCCATGAAATATGGTTGAGATATGCAAATTGGCAAGTGATCTTGCTTAGGATCCTCCTCCAGTATGTTTTCTTAATATAACCTATATAGATGCCCCTATGAGGTAAAATGATCTTGCCTCAAAAAGGAGAAAAAAATTAAAGAATCTAGATGCGTTTATAAAATTGTCAGTTGCGTAGAGGAGCTTTCACCGTTTCAAAACTATTATCCAGTTTGAATTTTTATTTTTAGAACAAATTGAACTAAAATTAAAAGTTGAAACTGGATAATTATTTTGGGAAAGAGGGAATGATAAATAATTTTTAACATATGGAACTATTTTCACTTTCCTAAGTTTACTTAAAGAATCGTTTGTAGCTGGCACTTTGTTCTTTTACTGTGGGATTGGCGGCTAATATGCAACAATCGCTTTTGAGAATCCATTTACAAATGATTGAAAAATCGAGAATTATAATTAGTGGGGTAGAAAAAACAACACATGAATGTTTAATTTGGATCGATATCGTATACCATATTCGAGGAGCGGAATTGTGGGCTTAAACCAAAGGGTCGCAACTTCGGATTTTAGGGTTTACAACTGCCAAAAAAGAAAAGAATTCTGTCTCACAAAAATATTCTATTCTATTAATAAAATTTTAGTTCAACAAACACTACAACAAAAATGGGCTATTAATATCTTTATAGTGGGACACTTTTTTTAAAATGTGTCTCATTATATGTGTATTAGGACATTTGCTAAAAAGTATATTATTAAAAATGAAAAAGTGTATGCATATTATGAAACACTATCATAAGTGTACTATGTGGGGTTGCTTGTGAACTATTACCCTACTTAATGGGTCACTTTAAAGTGTCTTAATAAGTGACAATTTAATAATACACTTTTAAATGTTTTATGACTTATTGTGACTCGATTATAGGAGACACTATTTAGTAATGTCCCACGCAATGTGCATCACATGTGTCCTATTACACCATTTATTGAGACACAAAAAAGTGTCAAAACTACTATTTTTGTTGTAGTGAAAGTGATTACTGTGCACGGTCGACAAATTTGCTGGCAAAAATGTTTATAATGGCTTCATATGTCGATGAGAGTGAAACGTGGAACTCAAGCATGTTTATCGAAAAGTAAAATTTTGATAAATACTTTCTGATAAAATTGTTAAAACCAACATGTATAGGTCGTTGCTACCTAGCTGTCATTGCTTCTTAAAACCCCTTGAATAAGTAAGTACTTGAACAGATTTTAAGGTGAGACAATATGTAAGTTGAGACATAATGTAATCGGCTTTCCTTTTCTCGATATCTTATGTTGTAAGAATCCAAGTTATGTATCACGGATCAAAAATTAAGTGTTCCTTTCATTCTGAAAAGAGATATCTCCACGGATTGTACAATCTAAAATTGTTTAACCTACATGCTGTTTATGAACTACATTTTCACAATTTCACTCTGAGTCTGAAACCATAAATAAAAAATTATTAATTTGCAAAAGTATTATGAAGTTTATTCTTTTAGAGTTTTTAATGCCATGTTGGCCTGATACAAGCAGACTGATACAACCATTCACAAAAGAGCATCTTTTTCCTCCTTCAACCAATATATATACTTGGGGAGTATCAAATCAAGAAAGGGGTAAAAACCAACAATTATTGATAGTGACCTAAGGGAGAAGGAATATATTTTATGTGCATAGGATATATATAGCCAAAAGATTCTCCAGAACTCCCATTGCCCAGCCAACAAAGTACAAAAAAGTTTGGGAGTGTATTGCTTTACTAGGAACTATGTAGGTGGCATATGCATTTTACTCTTGTCTGATTAATTACTCTTTCCGTTCTATTTTAATAATTCATTTTATTAAAGTGCACTGTGCACATTAAAGAATTACTTTATGTTGCGTGATTACTTCTGCGCCAAAACTCCCCACCAACACATTCGAATGTGTTTTTTGGTAAGATTTGGCCTAATTTTGAAGCACATTTGCTTTCTTTTCCAAGGCTTTGTTCACCTAGTGAGTTTGTTTTACCATTTTTTTAAAAATCAAGTTCATAAAGAAAGAGAGTATCTTTAATTAGCTCTCTAAAGTTTGAGAAACGATGTGCCGGCATAAACCAATCTTTTGCACTTAGTATGGCTGTTTACCGAACGCAAAAATGGTGAATTCCCCCTCAAGGAATTAATACTATTTGAAGTACTACTTACTATTATGGCGAAAATGTTAAACCAATTATCAAAAATCCAAATGAAATATATGTACAAATTAATTTGAGTTTGAACAATCAACTGACTTCCTAATCTAGATAAAAATTCATCATTGAAGTGCTTAGTAATGGAAATTGAGGGTTTTCGAAGTTGTAGCCATGTCAGAACTTTCTCAGAAAGATCCCGCTATTTTTCTAATTTTAGAAAACCTAGAGATGGAGGAGGAACGATTAATTAATTAGTCACATATACATATCGATTTTATACTAATCGTCAGATAACACAAATCTCATCATAGCTAAAATAGGTAATTTGTGGAGATTAGACTGAGATTTTGAGACAGAAGAAAACCAAAGTATAACTAAATATGCATGCAAGATATAAGAAAATCTTCACATTATTCATAAATTGCAAGTTTTTATGATGACAAACTACAGAAAAATACTAAATGATCCATAACTACTAACAAATTATAACAACAAATGAAATAAAAGAAACATGGAGATAGTGGGAGATTTTCCATCACAAACAAATGTAGCTTGGATTTAGAAACAAAGGGAATTCTCAGCATGAGCAGCAGATATATGTTGATGTTGTTGTTGATCATCATCATCATGGCAGCTTAATTCCTCTTTTTGATTCATTCATCATATTGATGATCTTCAGGGATCAGTTGGCCACCTCAACACTCTTCCACCTTTCTGTTCTTGAAGAAATGAAAGCTGAAGCTTTCCTATCAATCCCAGGCTCAGCTACCCATCTCCCCCTATCTTCATCACTTGGCCATACTTTGTAAGCTTTCACAAAATCATCCTTCATTTCATAATCCCTTCTGGGCTTACTACTCTTGAAGAACCCGAAAAACGAAAACGATGACTTCTTCTGCTTGTTGCCTCCCATTCTGTAGATTGGATCAAGAGAGAAGATAAACAATGGATGTGGTATATACTATATAGCTCTTGATGATGATGATGAAGAAGTTGGTTTGGTTTTTGAATGAGAGTTCATTAGATGTGTTGCATGTATTTATAATAGGGGAATGGGTTGATCCAAGGGTGGAGGAGATTGCTTAGGATTGATACTGACCGTTGATTTGATTGATGGTCATCATGATACTTGGGGGAAATGATGCATACACTGTTTTTTGGTAAAATTTGAGTTTAAAGAATTTGGATTGTGGACCGCTGGTTGGGAAAAAAGTTGACCAAAGAAGATGGAGGAATGGAAGAGTAAAAGATGCAAAACAATATTTTTGCATGTGGGAACTTATTTCATTTTGTGTCAAATTAAATTTAGATACCAATTCCTTTATTTCAGTTCACAATTCCTTTTGCATGCACTTTCTTCATTCTTTCTTTTTCTAGTTTCTAGCTACTACTTGGGTTTTGGGTGGAATAGAAATCATTGATGGCCCTTCCTTTCGAATTTTTCTTCCCAACCATTTTACTCGGTCTTGATTCCTAATTGAGCTAGAATAATCAGTTTCTTGTCAAGTGAAATAATAGATGATTCACTTCACCAATCAACACTTTTGTAAAACAGTTAAATGTATTGAACCAACTTAATTATGACTACGGTTTATAATTTTTAACAATTGGTGTGTCATGACTAACAATCGTAAAACTTCTTATTCGAAAATTCTTGTCTTATATGAAATAGATTTATTTGGTAAAGTTTGAATTAGTCTGAGACAACGATTTCGAACACTGAACTCAACGTGTAATATATTAAAAAATATATGTTCACTTCTCCGAAGGCACTTATTATTATTTCTTAACTTGCATTCAATCTTGGGTCTCATATTCTAATTGTTCGTTTTCTGGAAGGGATCAAGACTATTACCAAGACGAAAAATACTTCGAGCATTATTATAACGTCGAATTGAGGATACATGCCAAAAAAAAAAATAAAAAATCATTAACTGATCATGGCTATAACATCATTCTTTATATCATTTTCATTTTGGTTTTATAGAAAAGCTGCATACATTTAGGGTAAATATGCAAGCTAGCTAAGATCTCGAAAATATTGAAATTGAAGAAGAAAAAGAAATGCTTATATAAAAATGTAACTGCCGTAACGAAACATCAACACAAGTCTAGAAACTACTAGTAGAACTCGATCGATCTGTGTATTATAAGATAGAATGTGTTACTCCCTCCGTCCTATAATTATTGTCCAGTTTAGATTTCATTTTTAATTCAAATTGTACTAAAAGTGAAATCTCAAATTGGACAATAATTTTGGAACATGAGGAGTATTTGTTATCTGGGATCTTAACTTTTTGTTAGGTTTTTCGATGAAAACTTATGTTAGGTTGAAATTGACATATGTTTTCCAGTTAACTAATCTTATCCACGGAGATCAAATTAACAACTAGTACATATCATGAACATTAATCACTCTAATTTGTGCATCGGTCCAAATCTTTGCTTTATAGAAAGTGCTTTGCCACCTACCTATGCGCCACATAAACTTATCCAAACACTCATCCTAAACTTTAATTTATAGATTTGTAAAGCTTTTTAAATAGGCATTCAAATAGTTCGGTGTATTACCAACCTTAAACTTTGTTGTAAGAACTAATCTAAAATCATTTGGACAAAGTTATTTAGGGTTAAACTAACGTTCATATTAATATGTGTAATTTACATAGTATTAAATTAAATTACAAGTTGGATTACTGATGATGATCAATTTGCTCAACTACATTGAGTGGGTGAACGAACAATATTAATGATGGGACTGGACTGCTTGAAAGAGCGTATTGTGTGCTGTGAGACCAATGAACGGTTATTATAATATCACAAAAAAAAAAAAAAAACTTGGAAACAATTGAGTTACACTTAAACAAAACGAGAGGATGAAGAAAAGATCGTCAAAAGAATCCTTAAAGTTCTCTTTTTTGAATGCCTTTTAATTCCTACATAATTAATAATGATTTGTAAATTCCAGGAGAGAGACCAGCAAAACGAGTACACAATTTGGCTTTTTTTTTTTTTGTTGAGGTGAAGCTTTTCTTTGTCTGAAAGAAACAGAAGAAAAAAATACTACCTCCGTCCCAAAAAAAATAGTTTACATTGAGTTTTCAAATTTGTACTAAAAATAGTACTAGTTCCGTCCCAAAAAAATAGTCCACGTTGAGTTTTCAAATTTGTACTAAAAACAGTACAAAACTTAAAACTCAAATGTAGACTATTTTTATGGAACAGAATAAGTATAAAACTTAAAATATAATGTGAATTATTTTTGTGGGACGGAGGGAGTAAATAAATAAAACCCAAACCTCCCTGAGAGACAACATTGCTTGCAAGCTGTCTAGCTTTAAGGATTCTTTCATAAAACCCCAACCACTGTTTTCTCTCCCTCCCACAGCTTCTAGCTAGTTTGGTACGTCCGCAACGTTAATTTGTACTTACAAACTACGGAAACCCTTCCTTTAATTTAATATTCCATTAAATATAACTTTTTAGAATGTTTATAGTCGTAGAAATTAAATTAATTTAATCTTAGTGTTCTTTTTGGCTGTCTTCACGTTAATTATCTTTCTTAAGTATATATACTACTAGTATTCTAATGTCTGCTCATATACTACTTTTCAGTAATTCTACGTTGTACTTAGATCAGAAGAAGACTAAGTTAGGCCGTTCAAACTTCAAACTTAGAAAGAAATGTACACATTTTCAATATGATCGTACTTTATGACTAGTTACTTAACTCGTAAGTTGGCAGTTATATTAAATTAAAATTATTCTTTTCGTCTCAAAAATTGTCGAGAAGTGAAAAGTGTATTTGTGTTAATTGAAGTTCCTTTACAATTAGTCATATTCTAAACCCTAAAATGAATTGATGTTAATAATGTACATACGAGGTCATGTTAATTTAATGCGACATAACAAATAACAGTTAAATAAAAACAGAAAAGAGCGATGTTATTTGAGATTGAAGACAAAGAGTTTTTAAGCTGAAAAAGAAATTAGTTAAGGAGAGATAATTTGATCGTCACCTATAAAAAAAACAAAGGTGTCGTTTATTGTTTACGTGTGATTGACCGTGGGAAGGAAGGTTGATTTGGCTACTAAAGATCCTTAATTACAATATGATTATAATGAAAAGCAAAAAAGAAATGTAATGGGCTACAGTTCACTGAAGCTAGCTTTAATCCTCCTATATAGCTAGAGAGAGAGCTCAAGGGGGCTGCCTGCCTGCATTTCTGAAAAATGGCTTTTGATTTCTAAAACAAAAACACTTCACCTTTTACATATTCTCTGTTGGTTTCTGGGAAAATACGCTTTGTGGAAAAAGAAGGATCATTCCCTCGACATCAAGTCACAGTCAATCCAAAATTAGGACCATTATTATTAGTATTAGTTTAGCCCTATCAAGATCATCTCTATTATTATGCTACATATATATATATATTTATTTATTTTATGTATCTTTTTCAGTTCTAAATTAATATAAAATGATTTTATATATGTGGTATCAGCTTTCTTTTGATGGAAACGGGAGTGGTTTTTCTTTTCCCTTAATTTGATTGCATAATGGAAAGGAAATCTTGAGGATTCGTACGTATTTGTATTTTATTCATAAGGGGAATTACTTAGTCTATGCTTCCAGCTAGCACGATTAGTATAATTAATTAAACATTTGATTAAATTAATCTTAGTTCACACACTTTATCTTTTTTCCAGAATTATGAACATGCATGCACTTTTCTTGATCTTGTATTACTATATATCACCATTAATCTGGATATATTTCACCAAGAGATGTTTTGAATTTTTTAAGAAATGGTTCATACCGCTATACAAGCCAACTTTTCTTGTATATACTCTCTTGTCTTTGAGGGGGAAAAATAGGAACTTTTATTTTCAATTTTTATCTATATGTGTAACTCTTTAAACCCTAATTGATGCATCTGCAATATATTTTTGTAGTTCTATCTTCTGAAAAAAAAAAAAAAAAACTTAATTACCCGATCAGCTCAAATCCGAATTAATCAGTATAATGATTTAATATACAGAAGATGGAGTAATCCTCGTATGCTCATCATGTTTCGATATTGTGAATAAATCCTATCTCTTTTTTTTTTTCCCAATTTTTGAAATACCTAACTATGGAAACAAACGGAAAATTGATCCTTGCATGCATGTATGCACGGTGCTATGTCCGAAGGAAAAAAAAAGTTCATTTTATTAAATTCAGATTAATGCAGAAAAAGAAATAAATGAATATAATGTTGTGATCATGCGCAGGAGGACCACAAAAGCAACATAATCATATGATTAAATGAAATCACGAAGAACAATAAAAAAATTAAAAATAAGCAAAAAGATTTGGGTTTCTTTAATTTGAAAGGCATTCGGCTAATTTAATTCCACTACACTGATGCTCTAAGCACAGTTGATGTTATCTTAATGGTAAACAGTCATGCATTTTTCTCCCTTTTTCTTTATTTTTTTTTAGGACCGGATGCACTTTTCGTCCCGGATGCACTATTTTAGGACCCGTTAATTGACTAAAAGTTCTGTTAAATTGACTAAAATTGACGGAAAAAATATTTTAAGGGACTATTTTTGTCAATTAAAAATTCATGGTGACTCGATCTTATTACCCCCAAAAGTTGAGGGACGAAAAGTGCATTTTGTCCTCTTCTTTAATAACAGAAGTAGTAATCAGTTAACACATTAAATTATTCCCCGTCTCTGAAAAATCGTCCATAATTGTCAAATTTGTAAATTTGAAAATTTAACATGAACTATTTTTTTTAGACAGAATTAATGTTATATATTGTTGGATAAGAAACAACCATGATATAGTGTGTTCCAATCACATTTGGATCTCTAAAGATGGATCATTTCGTGTTGCATTTCCTTTTTTATTATGATTTCTAGATAGGTATCCTACCAACTTCATTAGATTGGTTAAAAATCCAAACAAAACAAATAAAAATTAATCAGCTTATTTATTTATTTATTTATTTATTCTTGTATCTGTCTTTTGATGTTAGGCCCGAAATAAATTCAAAAGCATAATTTAGTTGGAACTCCAATTGTGAATTAAAATAATTACTGATTTAGGAAGCGTAAAAAGTCACATCTCTTTATAAAATATGCATTCTTGTGAACACTTTATTCGTTTTAAACACTGTTGATCTGAAAATATCTTTCACTTTAACTACTCCACATTATAATATACGAACGCACAAAAGTTAATTGCCTTCTAATCCACATTACTCTAAGCATGTTTATAAATTATTATAATGGAAAGCTGGGATTTACATGTAGGACCGAAAGATTAAAATAAAAAATGTTATATTGACTATACCACTTTGGAATGTCTTCAACATTCTAAATTGCATTTATCTAAACCACATATTGATACTCTTAAAAAAAAAAAAGGTGAAAAACACGCACAGATCAATCGATTTGATTGGCTACGAATTGGAAACTGTTATTGTTTTTGTTTAGAGCAGACAAGAAACAGTGAAAAATTAACTACTTGGTCAGAATATCAGTTCATCCTAGAGTTTGAAGCCTTGAAATGCAAGTTATAAATTTGATGAAATTACAGGAACATAAAATAGTATTGTCACGTCTCGAAATTATTATTTAGTTTGAGACTTTCCTTTTAGTACAATTTATACTAAAATAAAACATCAAACTGGGCAATAATTTTGAGAATACTCCTTTTGTCTAAAAAAAAAAAATTATTTTATTAAATTAATATTATTATTATCCAAAAAAAATAAAATAATCCTTATTAATCCCGCCTTATCTTTTCCAGGCCGATTGCCTTCTAAGCCCTGTATTCCCATGTAAAAAGCCTAATTCGATTCGATCCAAAACAATAGGCCTATCTCAAGGACCAGCCCAATAACAAGAGTGACCCAGGAACATCAATAGCGGATGATATAGAAATCAAACATCCTTAAATTTCAAAGCGTTGGGGAGCGGAAGTCAATCGAATCTCCCACATCTTTCCTTCAAAACCTGGTAATTTTCTTGCTGATTCTGCTTTTAAATTTCTATGATCTTTTATGGTTATTGTTACGGCATTTAACTCCAGGAAAATCGTTTCAGCAAAAGTGCATATATAATGCTACTCTTTTTGTTTTTTCCCTAATCTCTCTAGAACAAAGATGAGAAAAGGTTTTTGGGGATTTAGGTTTATTTTTTGGTAATGAACTGAAGAAGGTTGTAACGGTTTAGGTGAAATTGCTATACGTTCAAATCTGCTTTTCGTGGCACGAATTCAGCTGTGTAGGATTTATTTTCGGGACGAGTTTGAGCTGAGTTAATTTGTAGTTTTGAACTAATTTTAAGGATTAAAGATTTTGTGTTGATTTTGTTTGACGTGTATTTTTGAGTGCTTGATCCATTTCTGGTAGAAATTGGGCGATGAGTTATATTAGGAAGGATGTTGGTATCTTAAAGTTTATGTGCATTGGAACTTGAATGTATGTGTCGATCTAAGTGACGGAGCATCGAAAAATGAAGGAAATAGTCCTTTCCCTTTTCTTTTCCTTGTTCTTCTAAAATGTTTTGTATGTTTCAGCTAGTCTGTACTGGAAATTTAACTTCCACGGTGATATGTGTGCTTGTGTTTGTGCGTGCTACCGTTTTGCTATATATGTGAGCACTGCATTATGTATGAAACATTTTCCTGTAAAGAACGACCTCAGAGCTTAACTGAATTGATTGGTCAGTTATAATTTGAAATTCTTTCTCTCTTCCCTTGGTCCAAACTGAAAAATTGTTGTGTGTGGGGCATGTTGTTTGTCTTGCATTCTTCGGAGTGTGGAGTAGGGAAGCCAACTCAATTGGGATGTTTTGCTTTTCTATAATCCTTTCTTTTAGTCCTTAGATTGTTGATATGTTTGTCATTGTTTATTGGGAGTATGCTGCCTATTTGAATAACGTGAATATGATAATGGGTTTCCAGTCTAAATTTTTGAGCAGATTTTGTGTATGTCCAAAGTAATTTTGAAGTCATACTTTGACTTCTGAGAACATTGCTGAAGGTTTTGTTTATTTTTCCTAATCTTCTTATTTACTTGTCTTCAGGTCACTAAAATGGATAATAGATGGTACAATGGTAGGCAAGAGATGTGGTATCGTGATCAGAGAGAACAGGAGGTATCCTCTGACTTCATCTTGGGTGTGTGTACTTTACATCTTCTTTGTGGTGGCTTTTGGTTTTGTAGAAAAGCAGATTCCTGTGTCTACAAGTTCATGGATTTCCTTTCTTCATTCTGTTGCATATGTGACTTATAACTTTGTTCCTTGCGAATTTTGAGGCATATATCCTCCTTTAGAGTGCTGAGCTTAACAATCCAATATTATCCTCTAGGAGACAATTGAGTTAATAACATATTCAGTTGCATGCAGTATTGTTACTGGAATTTTCTTGCGATTTCTGTGGAATAATTTTGGGAACTTTGTGACAAAGAAGACAAGAAATTTCTGTGAGGTTGAGATTCTTGACTTGGTTACAATTGTGATACCAGGAGCCAGCCCCTGTGGCATATTTTAGTTGTGATAGCTGCATATGTTTGTGTCTCCTTTGCCTTTTGCTTGTATTATTTGAAAATTTGAGATAATGAAGAACCTCATTTTTTGTATCTTACATGATATCAGGCTTCTATACTTGACGAGCTTGCAGATGATTTTCATCTGCCAATTAATCACAGACCAACAGAAAATGTCGATCTAGACAATGTGGAACAAGCATCTTTAGACACTCAGTTGACATCATCTAATGTCGGTTTCAGACTCCTTCAAAAGATGGGATGGAAGGGAAAAGGACTTGGAAAAAATGAGCAAGGTATGCTAAATCTTTTAGAGGCAGGGTACAAACATTGCATGCACAGTGTTCATATATCCTGTTTTTATTTAATTAGAGATTTATTTCATGAATGAGTATTCTGGGAACCATCAGAAATCAGAGTTGGTGGCGTTCCCGGCCTAGTTTTGTTGCCTCTGTTTTGTTTTAAGCAAATCAAGTGTTAAAAAAAAAAAGAGCAAATCAAGTGTTAGCTTTTGAGTCCTATGCTCCTCGTCAGAATATCGTCTGGACCTTAAAGCTTAATCAGCTTCAACTGAATGTCTTGTCTTCATTTGTCTTTTTATAGACAATAAGCTTTATTCTGTGTTTAAATTCATTGTCGTGGAAACTATTGAAAATCTGTCAACTGCTGCTTAGGCTGTTATAGAAACCTTATCTCCTGAACTTATTAAAGTTTTTTTTTTTTTTTTTTTTTTTTTTGTCGTTGTAGGTATTGTCGAGCCCATAAAATCTGGGATGAGGGATCCAAAATTGGGGATCGGAAAACAAGAAGAAGATGATTATTTTACGGCAGAGGAAAATATTCAGCGAAGAAAGTTGGATATTGAGCTTGAGGAGACCGAGGAAATTGCAAAGAAACGGGAGGTATGCCACTTAGCTTGTAACTAGTTGTAAATAAATCAAAATACTAGAGAAATTGAGGTTGATGTTTTACTTTCTCTGAAATATACATCTAATAACAGAAGGCAGCACATAGCATATATGTGTGTCTTTTGACGGGAAAGGTTTATCATAAGCGAACATCAACTTTGGAAGGTCTTGAGAATTTCGTGCAGTTTTTATTACCTGGTGGCTTCTACTGCCTGCTTCCTGCACATTATGAAAATCCAGGTTATAGCCGAACGAGAGCAGAAAATTCAAACTGAAGTCAAAGAAATACGAAAGGTGTTCTTATGTGAGCTGTGCAACAAACAATATAAGTTGGCTATGGAGTTTGAAGCGCATCTAAGCTCATACGACCACAACCACCGGAAGGTTAATCCTCTTTCTTGGTTTATACATTCAAGCCAACTTTGTTTGTTGTCTGAGTTTCATTTGCGTAGATTTTCTAATTTTCGATAGCTATGATAATTTCAGAGATTCAAGGAAATGAGGGAAATGCATGGAAGCAGCAGTCGTGATGACAGGCAAAAAAGAGAACAGCAACGTCAAGATAGAGAAATGGCGAAGATTGCCCAAATGTAATCTCTTCATCTCCTGTCATATACTTCTGTAGTCTTTTGGTCTATGAGGTTGATTTCAGAGATTTATTCTGAGCTGGCATTTGCTTTTACAGGGCTGGTGCTCACAAGCAGCAGCAGAAGAGTGAGGAATCAGGAACCACCCCCGTCATTAATCCAGTGAAAAGTGCTACCGCACTTGCAGATCAGGATCAGCGGAAGACTTTGAAGTTTGGTTTTTCTGCAAAAGGAAGTACATCAAAGGTATCCAGCTTCTTCAATAAACTCAATTACTAAAACGAAATAGATTGACTTGAAAAAAGTATAGATCCTGATTTAAAGAGTCGTTGCATGAAGTGTGAATGAACTATAAAGGTTTCTGCTTTGACATATAATCGTAGTCATTCTCCTAATCTTGTCTTCTGGAGCAGAACACGGTCGGGAATGCCACAAAGAAGCCTAAACTTGCAGTCGCTTCAGTTTTCAGCAATGACAGTGATGAGGAATAGCATCTTATAGGAAGTGTTCACTACTGAGAATGCCACATAGCATTTAATTAGCTATTACTGTAAGTCCTTTCTGCCATGTCTTGGTTGTGACTTGTGTGTATCTCTCTATAATTGAGACTTAACAGGTTCAGAATTAGGTACGCCAAACTGGCATCATCGTTTCACTTTGTAAGAACCACCAACCGTTTTGCTGCAAGCTTGCAGTTTGTACCCTGTATTTAGAACATCATATATATAGTGATGACATTTGTTTTCCAAAATGGCGAGTGTCTTGAACTTTTGGTGAAGCATACATACGGTTCAACCCGTGAACTTTTAGAGCTCAACTCGAAAGGTGAAAGGGGTGTCATTGCCCCGAGGAGGTCTAAAGGTAAAAATGTTGCCATTGACATGTTAGATGGAAAAGTTTCAAAATAGAAGTCATTTGAGATACTACATAAATATATTTTGACCAAATGAGTATCCATGTCATTGTTCAACCTGTTGAATAGGTGTCCTATGCATCAGTGACAGTAATGACTAATGATACTAATAATGTGGTCTAATAAGGCTCTAAAATATTCCCATTTAGGAATTGAGTGTTTGCAAAAGCTCATGGCATTGACCTCAGAAACATGTCTTCGAAATATCTTCCCTGAGATTCATTCCATGAGGAGAGTCATCAAATTTCCTCGATAATGCATCAACAAGAATTGTACACATAATTCTCTTCCTGTCCGCACCAGTACTGAGCTTCATCTTTTCTTGAGATGACCTAAGATGGAATCAGAAAGAGCTAGTTTCCGGAAGTTATGACATGTAAATAAGCTGGGAAGCCTGGTAGGCTTACCACCTGGAGCAAGTCTTCTACTCCTTTTTCTTTCAGGACATCTAAAACCACAACTCTCAAAAAATGGAAGAACAGTTGCTCGTGGACCATGATAGACAATCTTGCCTTCATCCATCAAGACAATGTCATCAAAAAGATAGGAATCTTCTTGTGACACTCACTGTGACACAATCCAATTACTTTTTATATATTATAACATAATTTGTGTTAGGGTTTAGCTGATAATAATCACATTATTCATTTTTTTCTAAAATAATTAAGTAAAAAATTTAAAAAGTAAATTTCGAATAAACAGATTTACTAAATTACTTTAACCGTTTAATGAATTTCAAACGCGAAGGCGACACATGTCCCAAAAATCTATTGATGGTTTCCTTGGTCTCAATTCATTTCTGAGTTCCACTTTCCTTTAATATGGACTATATTGTTCGGAATTGAAAAAGTACAAGAATTGATTTTTTTTTTTTTTCACGCTAGTTATTTGTTTTCGTTGTTATAACAATGAAATAATTCTGGAATGTTTAAATAGATCCAACTTTATTAAAATATGTACACGTTTCTGCAATTTGAGACAAAATAAAATAGGAAGCATAAACTTCATATATATTTCCAGCTTACGACTTTTAACCAACTCATAGATCTTCAGGCTTCAAATTAGCTTGGGAGAAAAATGATGTAGTAGTACCTTCATGAATTATCGATGTTTCTCAACCAAGATCTAAGTATCAAATTCTTCTGAAGTCGAATGGTAAGAAAATCATGGTAGAGTTGCTTTAAAAAGAAAACCAGGGTAGAGACACTGTTAAAAGAAAAGGGGGATTGTAGAATTAAAATAAAAATCACACTTTTACAACCAAAAAATCAAGCCAGCATAGAGCATCAAGAAGAAAGTACAGACTGCAGGCCGAACAAGGCAACTTTAGCTAACACAACTTTACGTTCTTAGGAGGACCTGATGGCTAAACGCGCGACCAACTACAAGATTTATGGGGAACAAAAAAAGAAAAGAAACACCTAAGCAGCTTTTGCAAATCCAATCTGGAGATTGCCATAGTCGAACACGGTGTGGTACACCCCCATGAATACATCTCCGAGAATCCTGAAAGGAATTTTCGCGATCCTCAAATGTTCAGTTGCATTTTCGACATTCACTAAACTAATAGGGGCAAAGAAAAGTGGTAGTATAGGTTTTGTACAAATGAGAACAGATGATGTTGACATACCAGAGAGGACCACGAGGTTGTGGTATATCCAAAGCCATGAATCCACTGATGCAGACAGTAGTGATGTCTGATCCAGTTTGAAGAATATACTGCAATCAAGAAGTTGTACTTAATAACACAAACTAAACTATGCTTTTACCGGGAAGCTTGAAAACACCGTATGTTATGCATTGAAATGTGCATGTCAATGCAGATTAAATTAACATCAACATGGAAAGGTAAATATAAGAAAACCATGAATAGCATTCTTATTTAGTTGGATCTACATGTGATACAATGATTGATGAGTACACGGGAAAAGAAAGAAAAAGACAAACCTGCTGAGGTGTGAGCTCGAAAGCTCTACCTCCGATGGTGAATGAAATGGTTGGGAGGCTTGATAGGCTACTGCAGTCAACTACAGATTCTCCCCTGGGACTTGGTATGCTATCACAGAGCTGTCACACACATTAAATCAATACTTGCAAATAAAACATTCTACACTAAACTATAGCTTTTTAACAGCAAACCAATTAGGGCATGTGTTGAGAATTGTCACCTGATTAACATACTCAAGTACTTTCTCCTTTGTTCCCTGCTGTCTCAGTTGGCTCTGAATCCAAACTACAGCCATTTCACAAGCAGTACACATCGGGGTATCGCCAACTGTATCCTCAACATCGACCACCGACTTGATATAAGAACTGAAATAGTCAAGTAGAAGCACTGATTAGTTGGCATGTAGTCCTAATCCTTTGAAATGACCAAGGACTATGAAACTGGACGTTGATTTATGAAACATGTGTGGCAACGTTACCAAAAGGGTTGCCCACTTCACTTAAATGTTTAAACTATTGCCAAAGTTGTATATCAATGATATCTATAAATGCTGCCAATTCAGTGGCCTGATATAGATTCACTGATACCGATATTCAGAACTACTAACATTAAGGTAAAGTAATAAACTTTGGGTCTTTCTGACCTCTCATTTTTAGCAGTAACAGAATTGCATAAACCCATCTGTCCACACACTCTGTCAGGTAGTACCTGAGAACCAACACAATTGATAAGAAATTAACGCAGAGATGCTGGTCACTTTCCAAAAAGGAACAATATCTCCATAAAAATGGGAAAAGTGGGGGGCAAGTTAAAAATACACACCCCTGATACAAGAAGATCCCACATCATGTCACCATACTGTGAGACCAGTTCCTTGCATTCCACGCTTACTACTCCTTCTCCGCCAATGGCATGGTTAATTTGAGCAACCACAGCCTGCAATTCAAGAGATCATAAATGCTAGTTTCACTCGACCATGAACCTTATGTGAAAACTCACAGAATTTTCATTAAATAATGATCTCAAAAAGTATAATTGCAGTAGTGAACTATGTAAGAACATACAGTTGGAGCAGCAAGCAAGGACGTTCCAGAATCTACAATAGCGGCACAACCTTCATCACAGGAGCCTGAAAAGAAAACAGATACAAAATCCGGTCTGGAACTTAGACTTAACCCGATCAAGCGGTAGACAGTTTAACTTAGAGTTTATCATGGATCAAGGTTATGATGTTCATTGATGGATATGATAACATAACTCAAGATAAATACATTTACCTGCAGAGACGTTTCCAATGCGAAAATCTCCCATTTCAAACTGGAGAAAGTAGGGACAAATAATGCAAATGAGAAACAATTTCTTTTCCCACTCATTATAAAGAAGAAAAATAAAAAAATCACCAGGCAAGAAACTTCAACTTACTTCCCAATACCCCTTCTTAGTTACAGGAACATAAGTATGCTGTCCAACATAGTGATTCGAATCTACACCTCCAAAGATAAGCTCACCTCCTTCTCTTGCATTTTGGTCGCGATTAAGCCAGAAAGAGAATACTTTCTCATGAACAAGATTTTGATTCAACATATTATACCTGTATTTGCATATAGATTGAAGAATTTTGGTATGAAATCGTGTACAACACACAACTACAACGACAAAAAAGAGGTTAGCAGAGGCTATACCAGACTGGCACATTCTCACCAATGGAGATCTCCTGGAATCCAAGGCCGAGTATCCCGTCAAACTTGGCCACCACAAATGAAAGAGCTCCTTCTCTTGCGGCTTCAATGAAAACCTGAGAGATATCCAAGCCAGCATGAATAATATTCAGAAGAAGAAAACTCACAGCTTAACGAAAATGGAAGAAGAGGGCTCACTTGATTTTGAACTACAATATTACCAACTTGGACATGATCTTGACTCATGAAGCCAGATATTGAACCAGATCCATAACGAATCACGACAGGTGTTCCTAAACCATGGATTTGAGATGAGTATTTAGGAACACATTAAAAAAACTCAACCACTTATTACCAGATAGACATAAACCACAAGTCAACGCAGCTATAGTCACAATAGGTTTGATCAAATTTCCTCCAAATCCTAAGTAAATAAACTGAATTCATCCTATATTTCACACAGTGATTAATATTTTTGGTACATACGATCATAACATATTTGAATGTAACAAAGAGGTAGATGTTGCTTTGTGTTCAGAAGGCTCAAGCAATGAAATTACAGGATATAACTGATAACAATGTAGATCAATGTATGGGATTCTCTTCTCAAGACTTAGCCATGCAGAAGGCAAAATAAGGGGACCAATCTAGGAAGCCTAAAACAGGTTCAAGTTACCTATTTGTGTGTAGCTCAATGACTTGCTTGCCTTGTACTTGGAATGGACCCAACAGGCGATCTGAAATCCATAAGCATGTATTTGTAAAAACTTGGCATTGCAGTAACATGAGCACAGCGGCAAATCAAAACTAAAAAGGACTCACAGAATAGTAGCATTTCGCTGATGGAACCCAAAGATCAGAACTGCCAGTATCGAAGAGGATTATGAATCTCTGAGGTGGAGAACCAATCCCAATCTCTCCATAGTATTGAGCATCCAGGTAATTACTCAAATGTATAATATTTCCATCTGTATCACCGGACAGTTCTTTCCTACCGCCGCCATATTTTGCCTCCAATCTAGCCATTTTGGCTTCACTGATCCTGCTGAGTTCTAAAGGATGCTTTTTAAGCGCAATTCTTACCAATGCCTCAGATGGAGGAGGGAAAAGAGAGGAAACAATTGCCAAAAGTATGAAAAGCGCCCAAATATATCTCCGTTCCATGTTCAGATAAACCTGTTTCAAGCAAGTAAAAGGTAAGCTCCAATGTCATTAATTCAGCTAAAAGCATGAATCTTGAAAAAGCCGTTAAAACTTTCTTCCACATCAAGCAGCATTAATTCCCATATCACAAATCAAAATGAAGAATCTTTCTGCGGATTGATACTTCTATGCTTGATCATCAAAGAATTCACTGTAATGTGTGGTACTAAGGATGACCACTGATAATCAATTTTCAGGATTCAACTACAACTAAGAACATATTGGTTTTCCAAATAAATTTCCAAACAAACAGCAGTACTTCGTGAAAAAAAAAAAAGGGAGTAACCTTTACAATAAAATTGGAAAAATGTGGCACCTTTGTGATTTCTTGAAGTGTGGTGGCTGACAGCAGCAAGCTTTGAATTCCATCACCTAGTCACATTTCGGACTTTATATTACAAAAAAAATTGTCCAAGGAAACAAAACAACAAACATCTTATTCCATTTGGAGACAAAAGGAGAACGTTCCTGGGAAGAAAATGAGAAACATCTTCCCCCCCAGTTGGAGACAAAAGTGAAGTTAATTTGTCCTGGCCCGCCAAATATTTTCTGGGCCTTTTGTGAATATCCCAGAAATTGCTTTCATTTGGAGGATCCATCACCGGAAATTTCAGAATCATGTGAAAAAACTGGAGTTTACTACGTACAGAGAAAGTGATTGTGATGGATTGGTAATATCGGGCTAAAAACGATAAAACTGTAGGTTGTAGATTCATTTTAGGATACTCTGTCAAACAGGGTACTCTGAAGGTCCAAGAAGAACCACAAGTTTAATAATGGCTTCTTTGACAATCCTTTAAATGATCCCAAGTGAATGAAGCTGGATTTTCTCTGAAAGCTTACTAGATACTAGTAATAAGATGAGTTTCTATACAAAATGAATAGAGTTGCGTACGCTAGACATGAACTTATTTATTTCTATATCATCTCTTTCTTCTTCTTTTTTTTTTTCCCTTATTCCATTTTCACCCTAAATAATATTCACTTTTTTAAAGCGGACTGAAAACTTTTGTCCATTTTGCACAAAATAAACTTTTGAGGTTGCGTCCTTTTGTCAGAAAAAGAATAAGGGAAAATGAGTCTAATATCTTATAGAAATTACCCATTTATTAAATGAATCTTTAATTAATTTTGACATGTTTCACAAATACATTTGAATAGTAAATATCTCACGATTAATGAGTTTCTTTCTTCATAGGTACGGGAATGAGATTTTAAATTTAAAAAAAAAAATTTGCCCCATAATTTTTAATGAAATGAATTTATATTAACATTTCAAGGTTTCAAATTAATTATAATATACAGAAATTCTGTTTTTCCCTAATTAATACTCCCTCCGGTCCTTAATATAAGACATTTTGATTTGTCATAGATTTCACCTAATACATATTTTTAATTGACAAGAAAAATTTTAAAAAAAAGACATATTAAAATCTCATTACTTAAGTAAAAGAAATTCGTTACATTTAAATGTTCGTGGAACACAAGAACAATCAGAAACAGAATCAAATTACTATTACCACCATTCCTTTTACCGTCAAAGGAACGCAGTCTCGGGATTTTTGCATCAAATATTCTTACTACTAAACTGTATTGCTTTCTAAGAAGAGAAAAAGGGCAATAATAATAATAATAATAATAATAATAAATCTATAAATGTGAGTTTGGTTCACACAATTAAAAAGTTTTATGACGGAGAAGCAATTTCATACAAATTACAAGGACTTGAAAAGAGAACGACATTTACAGTGAAATTGCAAACACCATCTAATAATTACATTGATTTGGATTTTAAGACCCCCTATTACCTAGTACAGTAAAACGGGTTGTCTTCGGCTTCAGTTAAAAGAAACCTGTTCTGTTTTCCTTCGTATCTTCTGCCAATCGTTGTCTCTCGTTTCGCATGATCGATTGATATTTTGTTGCGAGAAAGGGAAACAACAGCAAGGTGAGATTCCTCTTGTGCTATTTTGGGGTTAGTAATCAAGTTTTTTGTCCGTATTTTTGTTTTGGCACGAAGTGATTCTCTGTTCTCTTCTTCAAAAATTTGTATACTCCATTGCTTGCTTTATTAGATTTGGTAACTTGGCACGAAGTGAATCTTTGTTTTCCATTGCAAAAAATTGTATCTTTCTTGCTATTTCAGTTTTTGTCTGCTTAAAATATTCTGCCATTGGGGCTGTATTCAATGTGTTTGGTGTTTTGCCCCTGAGAGTATTAAGGTATTCTGGTGAAGTAGATAGGTAAGAGAAACATACCCGAAAGCCACCAGATTGGCGTTTGATTTGTGGGTGCTAAAAACTATGCTTAACGGGATAACTCAACTGGAACTGTGCTCCAGCATTAAGCTACTTGGATAACTCAAGTTCTTGTTTGCCCCCTGCTATTCGAATATAATATGCATTCTTCAATTGGTAGTTGATAAAATCTTCTGACACACTATTCTCATACTAGCTAAATTTTTGTGATGAGCACCAATTTTAGAGTGGTATCAGCAAGACTGAATCGGATAAAGAACCAATGCTGATTGAACTGAAGGATAGTGCCTGGAAGTGTATAACAGAAAAAGCTGATAACTAGGGGTATTTTTTTTTTTAAACTATTTAGGCAATGCCATTGTCTTGGACAACAGGAAACAAAGATTTTTTCATCCATCCCTATGCTTTCTTGCTCTCACTTCTTTTCTTTTCTGCTTGATCTTCGTGAATTTCGTATTATTTTTGTTTTGAGTTAGTAGTAGTCTATTTCTTTCTTGGAGTATTTCTTTTTGCAATACCTTCCTGTACGAGTATGCTCCCACTGCAAGTTTGAAACTTTCCTTATTCCAGTTAACTTTTTTCATTTATGTATGTGGAGAGACTGTGCTAATGCTTCTATTAGCATTACTTTGGAGAAACATGTGCAATTGTGTTTCTTGAATGCATTTTTGAATGAAATGGGCCTCAAAAGCAGCTCTGGATCAGATTGTCCCAATCAGTCTCTGATTATACACCATTTTCACAGTTCAGTTGCAGGAGATACAGGAAGGCATTCAATCCTTTCAGAGTTACCATGAGTTTGAAGTCAGGGGAAGAGCCAACTAATGCTTCCTCAGACTCGAGCTTAAGTGCCCCAGAGCAGAAACCAAAGATTGAGCCCATTCGGTTGCCTACGCCTGAAGAAATACGGGGCCAAGACATTTGGAACAATTGTGCTGTCCGCAGTGTTGTTAGCGGAGTTATGGGTACCAGTCTAATTCTGAATTGTTGGATGCTATATTTAGTGTGATTGGCTCTTAGCAGTGACACTAGGTTTCTTGCTTGTGTGATCAGTAATTTTCATGTTACACAATTGTATAAAATTGGGGATTAAGATGGTCTCAAATTGTGTGTGTGCGCGCGGGCACGTTTGTGTGTGTGTGTTTTCTTTCAAATGGGGCAAGTGCTTGTTAGAAGAGATGGTATTTTTGTGATTGTGTAATGTAGATAAAGTGATCCTGGAAAGCTGGCTCTGTTTGGAGAGAGTTTTGTCTCTACTTTTTCTGATTCTGCTGTCTTTTAGGAGGGGGGCTTGGATTGGCCATGGGTCTGTTTCTTGGTGCTCTTGATAATCCTATAATGCAAGAAGAAATGACCACACGTCAGCAATTAATCTACCAGGCAAAGCAGATGGGAAGAAGGAGCTGGAGTTCATGCAAAGGCTTTGCTCTCATGGGTTTAGTCTTTTCAGCTGCAGAATGTATTATTGAGAAAGTAAGATTCTGGACACTTTTATTCCTTATAAACTATTTTGAAGAAACACGTAATGTTTGATAAGAGTACTAGGAAAAGAAAGAAGGTTAGAAGGTGCCACAATATATGTTCCCTACCGTACATGTAGCTATCTTGTCTCCATTCACTTGTGATTATCTAGGAATTGTTATCTCTTCTCTCATTTCCAACAAAATGTTACCTCTTCTGTTTTGAATTGACAACTTATATGCCGGTTGACTCTACTTGGGATTGCATTGAACAAAGGATACTAACAAACAATTTCTCTTATGAATGGAGGATATTGCCCACAGCTCCTTCCAGTGCATCTCTACATGATATCACCTTACCTTGAGAAACATAATGAAGAATCGGATTGTTGAGAAGCATTTTTTTTTTCTTTTGTCCCTCTTTTCTTTGCTTGAAGATGGATACAGTTAGATTCATTCGACATCAGGAGTAGTTTGTGCTATGAAGTGTGTTTTTCATTAATGGAATGAGGATAGGAAATTTTGTTATCTTGAAACTTAGAGCAATTTTAAGGTTAAAAAGGTAGGAGGCTCATATTCTTTTACTTATACCTCATTTTAGAATTCCCAGCAGTCCTGTGTGTGCATTATAGTCCACATGTTGAAATGTAGCATCATCTTACTTTTGCCATAAAAATGCAAGCATCTCTTTGCAACAAGATTTTTCAAACTTTCTTCACTTGTGCTTCCCTTTGTTGGTAACTATTTAATTGATTTTCCTGTTTTCATTTGATGGTAATTATTTGTTCTTTGAATCCAGTTGGCTCTAATAACCACTCTGTTTCTTTGAAGGCACGTGCGAAGCATGATATGACTAATACCGTGGTTGCAGGCTGTGTGACCGGTGGAGTAATATCTGCCCGAGGTAACATTTTTTGATAATTGCTCATCTTTCTGATTTATTATTTTTATTTTGATCATGATTGGGATTCATTGGGGTAATAATTTGAAAATGGTGTATAAAATGAAATAACCGTTTTTGAATTGCTCTTTGTACTTTTACTTCAAAGATATGCTTTCTTGTTGTAAATGAAATAGTTGATAATCGATCCCATTTTAAACTACTATCAAAGATGAAAAGCACATTATGTTATTGTTTTGCATTCCCAATCCCTGTGAGGTTATTGTGGTCACAAATCTCAAATCGTGCCCTTGGTGTCTGGAATAAGACCTGGTGTTGTGCTTATCCATCATGTTTGTTACGCATAACTGACAAACAACCGCAATGGCATGCGTTGTCCTAACAGAAGATTCTGTAAGTGAAAAGGGGCATAAAACACTAATTGGGTCATTCACTAGAAATTTCTCTAGTTGTTTCATTATTTCTTAGTTGTGCTATACATAGTTATTTATCCAGCTAATATGGAATCGCACTCAAGAATGTTATGCACGAGACTGATTCTAGGGCATGAAAAAGTGTTATGTGGATTCTATTTAAGGGATGGAGATCTGCCAAGGGCTCACATCCGGCTTTTTTTTTTTTTGGGTGGGGTGATTACATAAGCTCTATCCCTTATTAAGTTAGATGCATGCTTTATCGATGATATTGGCTGTCACATTTTGTTTACCATTATCACGTGTCATGATGTTCCACTGATTCTATCAGGTGGTCCGCAAGCAGCATGTGTTGGATGTGCTGGTTTTGCTGCATTTTCAGTCGTGATAGAGAAGTTTTTGGATAGACACGATTGATGGGAGTAATCTAGTGATCCAATTTTTGCTTAGTTAGCTGTACAAGCTACCACTACTGAAATTACCAATTTTTTCTAGATTTGATCTTGTTCTGTAATCCACGATATGGATGCTCTAGACGAACGTTTTGCTGGGAAGCAAAACTGAGGCAATACGACGATGGTGACTGTAGGTTCCCCTTGTTTGTGTAACATAGCAATATTGGGAGGGAGTAGGGATTATGTATGTCTTGGCCACATACGTAGATCAATTGTATTCAACAAGAACTCTGAATAGGGTGATGGAATTCATTGTGGTATTGAGATTCCAATGTCATTGAACAACTGAAATTTGGGGCTGTTGTTACAAATCAAAGAATTACTTTTTATTGCTGTATGCTCTTGTGAGGCTGATGAAGAGTTCTAATACCACTGACGTAGTTAAAAAGGGCTCACTCAGAATAGTTAAAAGAGGATCGAGCATGATGAGAAATTCGATCGAACAAAAGCCAAACACTACATCACAAATCAGGAAAAAAAAATTAAAAAAAAATGTAATGAACTCAAAATAGAGAACAAGATCTCACAAAATACCAGAATTGACTGCGTTTATCACGCAAAAAGAATTTACTCGATTAGATTCATCACCACCAGGGGTTGTTTGGTGGTGATATTTTAGGGGTTTCCTAACCCCGACCTGTTGTTTTGTAAGCCCTTGTAGAGGTTATATACACTTAAAACTTAGAGAAATTATTCAGTGCAGTTACCTTACCATGTAGGGATAATAAGGGTAAAATAATAATTTTAGAAGGAGAAATAATTTTTACCGGAATTATACTACCAAAATAGGGGGTGTTAACACTTGCTGCACTAAAAATCAGGATACAGCAACTGTACTCAATAATTTTTCTGAAAGTTATATTACAGCTGCTGTACCAGTAGGATTGTGTAGCCAGACACATAAATAGGGCAAGATTGTAATTTTATCGGAGAAGTTACTATAAAATTAGGGAGCCATGGTATAATTTTTCTGAAAGTTATATTTTATGGTAAAAAAAAAAGTATTTTGTAGGGAGAAAAACTTCCATATAGCTGCTGTACCAGTAGGATTGTGCAGCAAGACACATGAATAGGGCAAGATTGTAATTTTATCGGGGAAGTTACTATAAAATTAGGGAGTCATGATATTTACTAGTATATTGGGTGTGTTACTGCACTAAAAAGGATACTTAGAATAATTTTTCATTTTGTGGGAGTATCATACATTTATGTGTTCCAAAAATCAATAGGCGGTCGACCGCGACTCCGTTAAGACAAACCGCTTGCTTCTGTTGACAACTGATTTAACGAAGACAAAGCGCTTATCCTCTGCAAATTTGGTTGCCAGAAAGGTGAGCTTTTTAATCATGTTTAAACGGGTTCACAAAAACATACAAAGTGGGTTCCTTTATTGAATTTTAATTTGAGGGATTCAAAGGAGTTTGGATGTTCTACTGGCCTTTGTTTTTGGCCCTCTTGTTTTCCTTTTTTTTTTTTTTTTTGCAATAGAGTCGCTCGACAAAATGTCTCTGTGAAATTTTTTATATAATGTCTCTTTCCACAAAGCTATTGCGCCACATCTCTTCATTTTTTTTTCCTTCCGGAATGATTTCGGTCATTTTTTTACTTTTGCACGAATGTGCTGCCAGTTTCTTGTTCGAGCTTGTCTGACGGAGGTTAACTGGCTTCGGCTATATATGTTTTGCATTTTGTAGATTCCTCGGGGTCCTTGTTTAAGTTGTGAGACTTTATTTTTGTGCTAAGAGTTCAAGTATTCTATGGCTTTGAGGCGGTTTTTTGGTTTCTCTGATGGCGAACTCATGCGATCTGATGCAAAACCATGTTCTCGGTTGATGAGACAAACAGCTGGGATTTTCACTGTGGGTGGTGCATTAGGATTTTGGGTACTCTGTCGCCTGCACTATGGTAAGTGTTAATTAGCTCTATGATTTCTCATTAAGTTTGTTGAATCTAGGACTCAAATAAAGAGGGGTAGGGTAGACCGAAGAAAACTTGGAAAGAAACTATAAAAAATGATTTGAAATATTTAAATTTGAGGGATGAATTATGTAATGATCGAGCACGATGGCGACATATGATCCATATAGCCGACCCACCTAGTGGGAAAAAGGCTTCTTGTTGTTATTGTTGTTGTTGTTGTTGTTTGTATTTCTCATTAAGTTTGTCATGATTTCTGCGTAATTAGCTCCATGATTTCCCCGTAAGTGTTCCTTGATTTCTGCATTAGAAGCCATGAACTTGCTGCACTAACAACTTCTTTATAGCACCACATGTACTACGTGAAATAAACATTTTGATGACTTCCAAATAGATTCATGCAAGATTCAAGTATCAACTTGTTTATCATTGTAAAGCTTAGTATGGCAAAGAGCATTTATGTATAAATTGTTCCTTAGAAATTTGAAGTTAATGTCACCAGTTAAGGTGATTCAACTCTAGTTTTAAGGTACAGGCTTTAGGATTTAAGCTGTGCCACTAGCAAAAGCAATCTTTTCACCCAGTCGACTAGTTTCATGTTCTTCTGTATTTCCCTTCAAAGGGGACAGTTTCTTTTACTGCCTGTTGAGGTTAATTTGTAAGGATAGATTTTTGGTTGCCTAAGATTTGGGAATCTTGGATCCTTATAATGGTTTGTAACTGTTTAGCTGTTAACTCTCCTACCTTACTCTATGGCTATGCAGACTAGTTTTGCCGCGAACTTGCTATATTTGCATCTTAGGTGGTCTCCAGCATATTGTCTATCCTCCTCCCCATCATCCCCTGCACTCCTAATATGTTGTTAATAGGCTGTAATCGCATCAAACAAAAAGGAGACGAGGATGAAAAATGTTGGCGTTAAATTTTACTCTCCTTTTTGGCCTTTTTGCACATGAAGTGGTGATTCCTTTCATTTACGTTCCTAATTTCCTAGCATTGATGTGTCTCTTCCCAGTGCCTTTTTAGCCTGGAGACATCTTTACTGCCTTCCACAGATACTATAAGCAAACCAAAACCAATAGGAGAAAGTGCATGATGAAAAAGACCAAAAGTTGCTTGTTGGAAAACTGAAAGAGTTTTTAGTTACTTTGGTAGAAAGCTTACTGTCCCTATTTTTGTAAGTTATACCTATCAGTTTGCCAAGTGTGGATCATATTATTATGTTAAGTGTGGATTTGGGTTGGCTTCAAGATAATGCAATTTCTATGATGTCTCGGATCTCTGTAACTAATAATAGTGTAAACTCATTATTATACTGAAATTTTGAGTTATATTTGCATGGGACAGGTCCTCGAATTACTATTCCCAGGAGTCTTAGGTGGGCTGCCTGTGGAGCTATCACTACGAGCACAACTACAGCTTTGCTCGTTCGTCTATTCAGTCCCGAGTGCGAACCTCAAAATATAGCTGCCTATGACAAGAAAAAACCAAAGTAGATGCATTTTGTCCGAAGCTGTAAAAGATTTGTCTGAGAGTCTGACTAGTTCGAGTTATTGAACTCTCTCCAAAATGGGAGCTTGTAAATGTTGTGTTTAGACAGAAGAAAGTATTGCAGAACTCTTCCATGATGAGGGCACTTGTTCTGTTACAGAAACAATTTTATTTTTTGGATGGATGGGTTGGTTTTCTGTAATTTAGAAGAAAAAAAGGTAAAAACCTTGGAACATTTTGTTGATTGTTTTCTTCTAACTATATAGAAAAACTATGTTTTAGAGTTGAACCCGGTGCTAGTTTGTACTACTAACATATGAGAAATTCTTAGTGTGGACAAACCGTTCATTGTCAACCATCATGCCTGCAACTTCTCTCTCAAAGTGCCAAACCCTCAATAAATCCCAGAAATAATTAACCATTTTTTAAAATTTTTGTTTAGTTCCTAGTGGAGCTTCAACGTCATCTCCACCAGCTACGAAGCTATTTCTGGTTAAACAATTATTATTGACCTTTTACGTAACAATTATTATATTACTACATTAAAGGGATAACCAAAGTGGAAGGATTGGTTTTAACCTCGTCATGGATTTAGAACAACTTTAAATATTTTTGTCAGTGAGAAGATTAGTAGTTGTCTCACCCATCGATGTGATTATAATTCAGTGAAGGAGATGAGAGGATTAGTAGCTGTCTCACCTATCGATGTGATTATAATTCAGTGAGGGAGATGAGTCACTGTGGCCGACATTGAACACCCTGCAAATATGAAAAAAAAAAAAAAAAAAGGTAAGAAGGGATAAGAAGAAACAAAAGGCAAGGACAAATTGGTGCAGTGCAATTTGTAACAAACCAAAGATACAAATGCTTTTGGTGAATTGCATTTGCAATCAAATTTGGGAGAGTTACCAAAATTATGGTCCTTCATGCATGATAAACAATCGTCTCTTTGGTACACAAACTTATCTCGACAAAAATTCCGACTTGATATAAATTCTAACTCGATGTGTCTCGCTATTCCTTATCATTAGACTATTATAAGAAAAAAAAAATGGAAATTTATGAAAGTAGTGACAAACCTTATGTATTGTTTTCTCTTTATTATTGGATGGATCGAACAATAAAAATAATTAATGGAAAATCAAATAATGGAAGTGCCTGCCATCACATTCCTTTATGTGTGTGTTCCAGATTATCCCAATCAGCAAGCAACAAACAAAACTGTCACCCTGTAATCATTTTCATCGTCAGTGTCTCTCTCTCTCTCTCTCTCTCTCTCTCGTACACACACACACACACACTCTACAAAAACTCCTCCCAACAGATGACACCTCACAATCGCCGCCGTCTTCCTCCTTACCTCTGAACCCCCCGTCGTTTCCCATATGGCCTCCCCTTCCGACGACCCGGTTCACAATGGCGCCGCTGTGGGTCCTTCCGGTCCTCCCGACATCCTTCAAGAATTCAGCCACCACGACCCGACCGTGGCTCGAATCAACAACGGCAGTTTCGGGTCATGCCCATCTTCCGTGCTTTCCGCCCAGCAAGAATGGCAGCTCAAGTGGCTCCAACAACCCGATGATTTCTACTTCAACACCCTCAAACCTTCCATCCTCAAAACCCGATTGATTATCCGGGATTTAATCAACGCCGACCACGTTGACGAAATCTCCATCGTCGATAACGCCACCACCGCCGCCGCCATTGTTCTCCAGCACATCACCTGGTCGTTCTTCTCCAGTCAATTTCAACCCGGGGACTGCGCCATCATTCTCCACTATGCTTACGGGGCTGTCAAGAAATCCCTTCAGGCCTATGTTGCCCGGGCCGGCGGCCACGTCATCGAGGTCAAGCTTCCGTTCCCGGTGAGTTCGGATGAGGAAATTATTTTGGAATTTAAGAAGGCCCTGGATTTGGGAAAGGTTAATGGTAGGAAAATTAGACTGGCTGTGATTGATCATATTACTTCGATGCCTACTGTTGTAATTCCTGTTAAACAGTTGGTGAAGATGTGTAGAGATGAAGATGTGGATCAGATATTGGTTGATGGTGCGCATGCCATTGGTTGTGTTGATATTGATGTTAAGGATATTGGGGCTGATTATTACACTAGCAATTTGCATAAATGGTTCTTTTGCCCACCGGCTGTAGCGTTTTTGTACTGTAGGAAGTCGGAAAATTTGAAGCAATTGCACCATCCTGTGGTTTCGCATGAGTATGGAAATGGATTGGCCATTGAGAGCTCTTGGATTGGAACTAGAGACTACAGTGCGCAATTGGTTCTGCCGGAAGTGATGCAGTTTGTGAATAGGTTCGATGGTGGGATTGACGGCATAAAGAGGAGGAATCACGAGAAGGTCATGGAAATGGCAATGATGTTGGCAAACGAGTGGGGAACACATTTAGGTGCACCTCCAGAGATGTCTTCAAGCATGGCCATGGTTGCATTGCCCACTAGTTTGGGGATTTCAAGTGAGTCTGATGCCCTGAAGTTGAGGACTCACTTGAGGAATACGTACAAAGTTGAAGTTCCTATATACTACAGAGCACCGGAAACAGAAGGGGAGGTTAACTCGGTAACAGGTTATGCGAGGATTTCTCATCAAGTGTACAACACAATTGAGGATTATCATAGGTTTAGGGACGCTGTGAACACTCTCATTCAAACAGGGTTTACTTGTGCTCTTCTCACCAAGTAGGTGACGTTTCTTTTCTGTTCTGAAGTAGCTTATTGGATTAGTGCTGTTGCTTTTGTATGTTGATTTCTGCATATGGCCTTTGTTTTCCCTAGGTGCTCATTTTGTATGAGCTTTTAGTTTAATGTTTCTTCTCAGTGATTGTACTGTAAGAGTATCATAGTTGCTCCAAAATGGTGATTGTGGGAAATTTAGCTCTCATTCTGGATAACTAACCTATAAAATTAGTACTTGATCATTTCGGAAAGTTGTCAATCTGTAATTTTACGGATTTGATGTAAATCTCCCCTCTGGGAGGGTCGGCTGAACCTTTACTCTCTGGGAGGGTCGGCTGAACCTTTATTCTCACTAGGAGACAAGTGTAGTTTTCCTAGCTTAAAGCTCACCAATTCCTAGTTGTTGGAGGAATGAATTAAAGCCCATATCTTGATTTGAAGATGCTCCGACAATGTATCTACAGCATAGTAACGCCATAGATTTGCAAGTTTTTCTGAATGTCGTTGGTACTTATGTTTGGATCACTTTCAGTGTGTGTTTTTAGGTGATTTTTCTGGTGGGAATATAAAAAGGTGTATTGGAAATGTAAAAAGATATGTTGGGATGAGACATTAATAAACTAATCTGAAAAAACCATCAATAAAAGGAAACAAACAACGAGTGAACTGTTAATAGGTCATGTATGCTTGTTGAGTACCAGTTTATCCTTTTATGTCCTAACTTAATGAAGAAGTCAGTTCTGTCTCATCTTTTAGGGAGGAGTTTGCTTTGGACCATTCATCAAAATAGTAGAGATGGTATTCTCTGTCTATTATCACTGGCCTTGGTAGTTTCGTCCTACCATTCTAAGTTGTCACCTCAGTATGTTGTCATAATTAGACTATGCCTTTTCTTAAGATTTGGGCTAAGCTTGGTTGTCAGGTTCAGTTTGATACGTTCTCCAATCCATTATTAGAGGGGATAATGAAGAAAGCTGGCTTGCAATGCTAGTGACATCTATTGCCTGCTGGCTACTTTTGGCAATAGTCTGCCCCTTGTTTTTTGACGTCATCAAGAAGATGACACCAACTTTTTGTTATAGAAAGACATTGTAGTGGTGAAATACTGAAATTCCATCTTGCCACAAGCTGTTCATGACTTGTGTGTTTCCGTATGTATACTCTATTAACTTAAATATAAGTTAGAAAACCTCAGGCCCAAGCAGTGGATCATCTTGAGTTAGCTTACATCCATGGGTGTAGAGAAAGCTTAACCAATTGCTTTCTAGTTTATATTGTTAGTGATTTACTGGGTATACCTTGGCAGCAGATTGTAGTGACTTACTTTACTGGGAACTGAATTTAACCCATCTTTCCCACTATACAGAGTAACGGTGGGTGCCTTATTCAGTATGACTTCAAGTAATGGAGGACTGTTTTGTCGCAAAACTGAAAACTTTTTGTGTCTGGTTTGGCTTGTAAATTGCTAGAGTTGTTCATGACATGCCTTTTTCTTATTTTGCAGATTACTGGCTGATGAGAGTTGAGTTGCCGGTTCTTGTATCACATTTCGGTTTAGTTTAGCTGGTTACTGATCCCCCATAACTTCAAAGTAGATGAATAACTTCAGATTTAATGACTAATCTGACAAAAATTGTCTTTCAAGCCCGTGACAGCTCGGCTTAGGAAATGCAGGAGCGCTAGATAAGCACCAGCCTGTGGAGGCTTTTGGCAACTATGGCTTACCAGTCTGTAACAGTCCTGCATTGGTCCATTAGCCGGTCACCTGGATACCAAGTAACTCCAGAAGCAGATCTGCTAAGAAAACTGTGCTTCGTGGCCTGGATCCTAGAGTTTATGTACTGATACTTTGATGATTTTAAGAATTCAGTAGCCATGGCTTAAGTCCTGAAGTGTGGACTTGGGATTTTTTTGAAGGTTATACACACACACCATATTCTTAGTTCTTTTGCGGTTTGATGTGGCTCTATGGATTTAATAGTAAGGTTGAAGAAAATAATTAAGATTTGATCATTGAAAACATTGTTGGTTAGTACAATTTGAGTAATATTGATACTTCTTTTTTACAAAATTCTTTTTTCTTTTTCTTTTGGCATATTGATATGCTACTTTAGTTTGTTGAATCTTACTACATGTAATAACTTAAGCGGGAAATGAAATCTTTTCGAAAATAGAAAGTAGCCAAGTGATCCCTTTGTCCCAAATGAAAAAAATCTCAAAATGTAATTTGTGAATTTTATTAAAAATAGTTTAATTTATAAATTATAATTTGAATTATTATTTTGGAACTCGAAGAAGGAGAAAAGGAATTTAAGAGGGTTATAGAAGAAGTTGACCCTCAAGTAAAGTAGTTTGAAAAATTATATAGCCATATAGGACTATAGGAGGAAGAGAGTATTACCAAGATAGGAGAGCATTACTCCCATATATTTTTCCATCCTTAATTTGACCCAGATAAAATATTATTGGAATTAAACACTTACAAAATTGGTAGCCAAATTATGGTTTTTTGATTGATAGAAGCTCCCCTGTTACTTTTATCACTACTAACATAGTATTTTTTTATTAAAAAAAAATTACTATGACCAAGAAAACAAAAGATATTTGAGCTAAAGACAAATTTGACTCAAACTAACTACATGATTGGATGAATATATTGAGTAAGAACTGATTTCGGAACCTCCCAACACATTATAAAAAGAAACTCACTTTCACAAGTACAGTATGAACTACTTGGTGTTAATATATTTTTTAAAAAAAACTTAAAACATATTTGGTGAAAAAAATAAATAAATAAAAGGGTAATTGTTGACACCTAGGAAATGGATTTACCACAATACTCTTTCAAAAAAGGGGGATTTAGCACAAAACCATGATGATGATGTATGAGGGTCCAAAAAGAGGCAGAGTCTGATTGGGCGGTGGAAAACAGCCACGTCCCGTATCTCTCTTTCATCGTCCTTCTTTTTCCCAAAACTAAAGCATAAACTCCCAAATTACCCAGAATTTCTCTCCCAATTTTCCCCCAATTCTTATAACCCAAATTTAGGACTTAAGAAAAATCTTGCTCCATACTGATATCTCTTCAATTGCAGCATTTGGAACCCTTCTTCGGGATCCCCAGTTTTAACTACCCTCCAAAAACAAACACTTTGTCAACAAATTGAGGCCGTTTTGAGCACACCCTTTCGCCGCTTTCTCATCCTGGACTTCAAAAGGTGTGATTTTGTGAAGGGTTTTCTTTCAGTTTTGTTGTTAAGGTTTTTAGGGGTTTTTTTTTCTTCCCCTCCCGGTGATACTTGATTCAAGACTCGATTTTTTATTTTTTTTTTTTGTGTTGCGGGATTCTTGTTGGGCTCCTGTTTCGTCCTTGTAGTTTTTACTCTGTTTTGTTTGTTTATTACGTAACTTGTGTTTCCTGTTCTCCTTCAGCCCCGTTATCCTCTACTGAATTTTAAATCTGCCAATGTGGTGTTTGTGTATTAATGTTGAATGGAACGGTGATTCGTTATTTGGGGGTTTGAAACTTGTAACCCGTATTTGAGTGATGGTGGAAAGCCATGGGTTCTGACTGTTACATTAGCAGTAGGGTTCTATATAGTACTGCATTTGGTCTCAATTTTGATACGTGGACCTCGGGCATGTTCGCTTTTAAATGGATTTCTAAACTTCCTTACTTTGCCTGTTGTCTCTTATTTAATTATTCAATATTTTTGTGTTCATTGTGAATTACTTATAGCTTTTTGTTGGAAACCGCGGGTTATATTCTGCCTTACTCATACTGTTACTTGAAATGCGATTTAGGTCATGGCGGGGAAAAAAATCATTGCTATTTGTCAGTCGGGAGGTGAATTTGAGACAGATAAGGATGGATTTTTGTCCTACAAGGGTGGGGATGCTCACGCTATGGAAATTGATGACAAAATGAAATACAGGGATTTTAAGGTGGAGGTTGCCGAGATGTTTAACTGCAACCTTGGCACCATGTCTGTCAAATATTTTCTCCCATCCAACAAGAAGACACTTATCTCAGTCTCCAACGACAAAGACCTTAAACGGATGATTAAGTTTCATTCTAACTCTGATACCGCTGAGATTTTTGTTATGAATGAAGTCGTTGTGCCTGATACTTCCCACATGCCCGGTAGTAGGTAATTATACTCTTGTGCTGTCTATTACTGCGAAACTTGCTACCTTTTTTTGGAGATGAAACATTGGGGCATGATCGCATGTTTGGTTTTGCAGGTCAAGCAGGACTACTCTGTCGGAAGAAAGAGTTCCCATGGATACTGCTCCGCTAGATGCTGTGGAAAATGTTGCAGATGATTCAAACCGGGCTGAGGCTGAGGCTGAGGCTGAGGCTGAGGCTGAGGCAGAGGCTGGTCTCCTGCTTGATGCCACCTTCGATATTGTAGGTGATACTAACCATGGTGATGTTGATATTGATATACCGGTAGATCTCACTGCACCGCTTAGTATTGATGAGTCTTATGGTGAAAAACTTCATAAAGCCACAGATGTATGGCAAAATAATATTACTGGAGTGGGCCAAAGGTTCAACAGCGTGCATGAATTTCGCGAGGCTTTACGAAAATATGCTATTGCACATCAGTTTGCTTTTAAATACAAGAAGAATGACAGTCATCGTGTGACGGTTAAGTGCAAAGCAGAGGGGTGTCCTTGGAGAATTCATGCATCAAGGCTGTCAACCACTCAGTTGATCTGTATTAAGAAAATGACTCCAACACATACATGTGATAGGGGTGATTTAACAACTGGATACCAGGCGACAAGAAGCTGGGTTGCTAGCATCATAAAAGAGAAATTGAGGGCATTCCCAGCGTATAAGCCGAAGGACATTGTGAATGACATCAAGCAGGAATATGGAATTCAGTTAAATTACTTTCAGGCCTGGCGAGGGAAGGAGATTGCGAAGGAACAAATCCAAGGTTCTTACAAAGAGGCATATAGACAGTTACCTTACTTTTGTGAAAAGATCATGGAGACGAACCCTGGTAGTTTTGCAACTTTTACCACAAAAGAAAATTCAAGTTTCCACCGTCTTTTTGTTGCGTTCCATGCATCATTATATGGCTTTGAACATGGTTGTCGTCCTCTTCTCTTCCTTGATAGCCAACTTTTGCGTTCGAAATACCAAGGTACACTTTTGGCTGCAACTGCTGCTGATGGAAATGATGGTGTTTTCCCTGTTGCTTTTGCTGTGGTGGATACAGAATCTGACGATAACTGGCGTTGGTTTTTGCTACAACTTAAAACTGCACTTTCAAGAATTCGCGAGAACACTTCCATGGTTGATGGCGAGGCAATGGGGGAAAATGAGTCATCCACCGGCCGCAGTATAACATTTGTTGCTGATAGAGAAAAGGGTCTGAAAGAATCAATTGCGGAGGTTTTCCCTAATGGTGAGGCGTACCATGCTTATTGCCTGCGATATCTTTCTGAGCAACTTATCAGAGATCTGAGAGGTCCTTTTCCTCACGAAGTTAAACGTCTTTTGGTAGAAGATTTGTTTGCTACTGCTTATGCTAATAGGCCTGACGGCTTTCAAAGCTGTGTTGACAGCATCAAGGGTATCTCACATGAGGCCTATAGCTGGATCATGAAAAGTGAGCCTGAGCACTGGGCCAATGCATATTTCCCTGGAGCAAGGTATAACCTAATGGTTTCAAACTTTGGAGAGCTATTTTACAGCTGGGTGTCAGATGCTAATGAACTGCCTATCACCCAGATGGTTGATGCAATAAGGGGGAGAATAATGGACTTGATCTATGCCCGGCGGTCTGAGCCTGAGAAATGGCAGACAAGGCTGACTCCTACAATGGAGGAAAGGTTTGAGAAGGAAAGCCTTAAGGTTCGTCCGCTTCAAGTATCGTACTCACCTGGGTCATCGAGCACATTTGAAGTTCGTGGAGATTCCATTGAAATTGTTGATGTTGATCACTGGAATTGTAGTTGTCGAGGATGGCAACTCACTGGTTTGCCTTGCTGTCATGCCCTGGCTGTTATTAGTATCGTGCAGCGGGACCCATATGATTATTGTGCTGGATGGTTCACTGTTGATAGTTACATAAAGACCTATTCAGAGTCTATTCAACCTGTCCCAATTGTGGAAAGGCTTGGGAAAAGGGATATCTCTCAAGGTTCTGTAACTGTAACACCCCCTCCTACTCGCCGTCCTCCTGGTAGGCCTACTACTAAGAAAACTGCATCGCATGAGTCTATGAAACGTCAGCTCCAATGCAGTAAATGCAAGGGTACTGGGCATAATAAGTCAACTTGCAAGGAGTTTACATTAGAGTTTTAGACCATGTAAGTATGTCATGAAACTGTAGCTTTTGTTTTCTTTATATGTGCTATATGGAGTTCTAAACTATTGTCCCCTCTGGTGCAGTTGATGCAAAGGGTACTTGGTATAATATGTCAACTGCCAAAGAGTTTGCATTAGAGTTCTAAACCATGCATGTCATGAATCTGAGGTTTATGTTTTTTCTTTCTTGGTGTTTACTATTTACTGATTAAGAGTCAAATTGTGTTATCGATAGTTGTTGATGGTAACGAATGAAATATGTTATAAATAGCTGAGATATTTGCAATTGTCCGAAGCTTGTAAAAGAAATTTGTTTGTTCGTTTTTGTCGTTGTTTAATATATTTTCTGTCTCTTTATGTTTAGTTAACATTTAGAGTCGAAATAGACTAGCGGTAAGCTGAACTTTTGAATGGAGAAGAAGGAAGTTTTTAATGAATAATTTTGGAAGATTGCATACGTCCAAATCATGGTATGGACATAGTTCTTGCACGTCTAAAGTATTTAATTGTCCCACCATCTTATTCTATTCTTTTGTGAATTAGTGATGGATTGATTATCTCTTTCTTGTTTGAAATGTATCGCTTTATAAGTAGATTGCTGAAAACGAATTAAGCTGGAGCTCGAACAGTTAATCTAACTCCATTATGAGATGTAAACAAACATCGGAAAAGGGAAATATTTTGGTAACTGGAGATTTGAAACTGAGACCTTTGGGTCAAACAGGCGCCATCAGTGGCTCCTGTCTGGTATAATTTATGAGCCTAGGCATTATATTATTAATAATTACCAAAAACCTACTGTTTATTGTCAATAATGGAGATTGAAAATTGCTTGCCTCCAAGTTCGGGTTAGATATGCTAGAAATGGGTTTATGGTTTTATCTTACATAACATAGCCTTTTGATCAATTTAAATTCTTTTTACTGCTCCTGTTTTTCCTCTCTTTGCCCCTGTTCATCCTTTGTAGGATCCTTGCGCATCATTTTTAGTCATGTAGACTTTTCCTTCTTTCTAATGTTACTTTTCTGTAAGTTTTACTCCCTGATCCCCTTCTTCAATCATCATAAACTTCCAGATCCAAGTGTACCACTACCTGTCCAAAGCCAATGTATATTAGTGAAACGCTTCTTAAAACTTGGCAAGGATGAATTGAGGTAAATAGAACTGGGGAGGTGTTAGGCTATAAAATGATTATGGTCTTATGGTTCTAAGAATACGTTGATACTCAATACCCAGTATTTTTAAACTTGCCTTCAATAGTGAGGGTATGTGATTAAACTCCCATGTATAGCTTTTGATGCTAGAGTGTTAGGTAGTTGAGAAATCTGCAATCTGCTGGTTCTTGGTTATTAACCCTGTTGATGTTGGCTTTTAGACAAGGCCATGTTCTTTTTCAGATTCCTGATTGTGGTTTTGGGAAAATAGTGAATCTTTGTTTTCTTATTGATAATGATTGGGGAGGAGTTTTTGACTAGTGAAGATTAGATAAATGGGATAAATGTGGTCATTTAAGGCAAAGAATGTGTTTATAATCTTGTGATTAGTGTTTTGGTGAGTGGATGATTTTGGGATGCAAGAATACCTATTTGCGATGTCTATGTACCGGGAGGAAAAAATCTGTTCCTGACTAAAATGTTGTAGTTTTCGAACATGTCACCACTTAGACTGAAAATGTAGTAGTTCTCAGTAGCTTAATTTTTTTAGTGCCCCATCTTTTGTATGTTTGTCTTTCTGTATTGATGCTTGTTCATACATGTTAATATTTTTGGGTGACCTGACGCGTTGTTTACATTGCTTAGACAACTTGGTGTGACTAATAAATGATCGTATTCACAATCAGTTTGCTTTCTGTTGGCAGACTTGTTGGACCAGTGGAGCTGTTGCATTGATAAAACCAACCTTGATACCGGATGTTCTTCAGAGGCAATGTGTTTTTTCTAGTTTAGATTTGATTAGCCATAATAATCTAGATTAGGTATCTGTAGGATCATGCTATAGCTTCCCCATCTGACGTGACCCAACTTTTTGAATGTATATATCAAGTTTCTTTTTTTCCTTTTTCCCCATACTTTTTTTTTTTTTTTTGGTGGAGAATTGGAGATTAACCAATTATTTCATTGTGGTTTGACTTCTCAACCCATTAATACCACCAGTTCATACACCAGGTTTGGTTTCAGTTGAGCAACAGTAAACAATCTTAGGTTGTCTTTTCAAGTTTATGACTAAGCTGTTATTTAGGCAAGTGCTTATTAACAAGTGTCATTGGGCAAGGCTGCAAGGTCTCTTGCATCATCTCACATGCAGTATGAATTTTGCTGATACTGGAAGGGGAAAACATGGGAGCTGTGCTCATCGAAATGGTTGAAATTTTTAAGGGTATTCAACCTTGATTATGTGTTTCGACATATCAAGATGGCGACATATGATTTGTATACACGGAGAGAGCGTGAGCGGAATGAAGGCATACTTATTGTTATTGATATCATCTTGATTACATAATCTGTTTAGATTCAAACGGGGTTCATACAGAGTCAGGAATTGTTTAACAGGTGACCAACTTTTGAGCTGTTGTTTGGTGCAATAATTGCAGTACCTGGAAGCTGAAACTTTTCAAAAATGCGGGTAGTACAACAATTCTTCCTAGACTGAGAAGTACACCTTTTGAGCAGAAATGTCTTGTACTTTGGTAGTACTTGTATTTCCCTACGATCTGTACTGCAACTGTTGCATATTAATAGCCAACATTTCCAGTTCTGGCAACCAGAATCAATGGAAGCGTCTCTAGACACACTAGCATGCCAATATTCTCTTCATTTTCAGTTCGTTATTCAAATGTTTTTGACCAGCACAGCAAAAATCAAGAATTTAACGACATTTTAGCCATGGTGACGATTTTTTAAGGTTGAATGACCTTCCAGGTAAACAGATTAGTAGGACAGACGGGGATGAGGCAGAGCATGAGACGACCAAATCGTCGGTCTAGATTGGTCTTTTCATGCACTGCCTCTTCCCTGGCTGTACTCTTATCAAATTTGTCTTTCTTATTATTAATGCGGTGAAACATGTAATGTTAGATTAACTCTTGATTTTACACCATGAACTTCCAAATTTGTGTAGTGCAAAAAAGGTAAAGTTGGATCCGTATCTGTTTTGGTTTGAGATTTTTTTTCTTTTTTTTTTTTTTTGGCTATTTTCTCAAACTTTGATTTCTTGTACGTTTGATCCTAAGGTTACCCAGGCTCGAATAGCCCCATTTCAATTTGGGCCTAACAAGAAGAAATAGGAAACAGCGACGTCGTTTAAGATTGCCAAAATTGGGGCGGATTTCGAAAAGTCAATACCAAGTTACCAACTCTTCCCACTTCATTGTCTTCCATTTTCGTCTTTCTTCTTCTTGACCCGTTCTCTCTGAAACCCTAATCGTGACTGTGCTTCTTCTTCCCAATCCGAAAGGTCTAACTAGGGTTTCTGATTCCTTCAAATGCTGATTTGATCTAAACATGATAATCAAACCTGACGGTACCATTTCTTCTTCTTCTTCTTCTCCCCCGACCTCCTCCATCCCGGGCCAAACCACGTGCGGGGAATGCGGCGTCGAGGACTTCCGCCTCCTCCACCACCTCCGCCACCGCACGGCGTTTCGCCGCCTGTGCACCTCCTGCGTCCTCCGTTTCAATCCCCGTTTGTTTTGCCCTAGTTGCTTCGCCGTGTATGCCTCCACCCCGAGCTCCGGCGTTTCGTGCTCCAAGTGTAAATCGTCTTCCCACCCTGAGTGCGTGGGAGCCAATTACGTGGGTCCTTACGTTTGTCCCCTTTGCGTTAACCCTAAATCTCCTGTCTTTTTCCCCAAAAAGGTGAAGGATTTCGTCAATGAAAATCCCGAGGCCGCCAAAGAAATGATTGGGAGGAGTGGGGATTACAGGGTTATTGATAAGAGAAATGCCAAGATTTTGTTGGCTGCGGCGAAGATTTCTGCTGAATCTATGAGTAAGGCGGCGATGGCAGCTCGGACCGAGGCAGAACGCAGAGCTAAAGACGCTGCATATACCAGGAAACGAGCTAGGGTGGCATTGGAGCACTTAGCTTATTTGGTCGCAAAGGAGAAGATCAAAAAGAGGCCCAGTTCTGCATCTGGTGTCAGAGTTGGAGCCACTGTTGGAGTTGGGAATGGGAGTACGGTTGGAAATTCTGGTAGTAATAGAAGTAACGGTGCAGTTGGAAGTTTGAATCCTGCTGCTGTGATGAGGATTGGTGGAGGGGCGAAGGACGAGGGTGAGGTTGGTAAAGCGGTGAGAGGAGATAGTTCTAGTGAAGTTCTGGCTGCATTAAACGCTGTGGAGTTGAGAGAAAAAGATAAAATCAGTGGTGAATCTAGTCCGGCAAATGTTGGTGGAGTGTGGCCTTTGAATGATGCTGATCCAATGGATATTGAAGAAACTGAGGAACCAAATGCAGTTGCCAAAATAATAAAGGAAGCTGTACGTAACAACACCAGATTCCATACTCAGCCTGTGAAGCTGAGTAGCAATGTATCTGGCGGGCAGTAGTTGCTGAATAATCCGGAGATTGAATCTGAACCATGGGAGAACTTTTAGGTAGGATTTTATCTTTGTATTTCTTTTATTGTGAAGTCTTTATAGATTATATCATCTCACTGTTTTGAATATGTTTTTCAGGTTTGCTTGAACCAGCAACAGGTATGGTTCGGGGACTTTCTCTCATGGATATAAGCCAACGGATTAAATGTAGTCCTGCGTTTCTAAGATGAAATAGAGTTGTCATTGCACATTATGTAATCATTAGGGGCTGGTTCTGGTTCCTTGTAGAGGATTGCAGAGACTTCGCCTATGTACCGAATCTTTTGTTGGTAAATGAATTCATGATTTGTTTCATACTTGGCCCTGGAGTAGCATCTTGATGTGTTTGTGGATTGTCCTTCTGTTTGTATTTTGTGTTACAATGTCTAATTAGTGATTCTTGCCACTCATTTCTGGATTTTCTGAGTATTGTGTTCTTTTCCGGTGCTCAAGGCCCACAATGTCGGTAATGTATCTGTATTTTTCGTTCATTTTGGCTCTGTTGTTAGTAATTGCAGAGAGCCAAGGATGGTGTGAAATTGTTTTAGTGTGAAAAGCTTCTAGTGTCAGAAATGAATGGTAAACTTAAGTAGGGAATTGCCTCTAGTTGCAATTGGTACAATTCTCATCTAGTTGATCCTTTTCCCAGATTTGCCCAGTGAATGTCATCTCCCATTATTGTGGAAAGTACATTCCCAATTTGAGATAGAAGATACAAGTGATAGCTGACGTTGTTTTATTATGTACTTGGACATAGAACTTTTCCACAAAACATCCAACTTGAACATCATCATCATCGTCAACCTGGCAACTGCTCATATTCTCATAGATGGATGAAGTAAAGTTGGAAACAAATGTTATCACAGATTCCACATCTTATCCAAATGTTGTCAGATATGTCTCCAAAACGTTACATAATCATGTCCACCAAGGAATATGTTGGGGAAAGTGGATCGGAGTCCCCCCAACAGAGTTAGTAATTACAAGATGGAAAGAGCATGAACTGGCCTTTACCAGAGTCATAAGCAAAAGTAATCCATTATCCCCGCAACACCAAAAGCAGGTACGTACGTACGTACTCAATGGCCAAGCTTGCGGGAAGCTGTTGCTACATGGGAAGAGAAATCAGTGCGTGAGTGTGTGTGTGTGTTTTGGAATTTGCGATTTGGGGCATATACGACTTTGTAACCCTAATATAAATAATTCTCTCTTCTGATGATAATATATACTCCGTAGTACTCTTGTCAAATATGGGCTTGGGTTTTCTTCTTTCTTTCCTGAGTCGGTTTTTCTCTGAAACCCTAATCGGAGCAGCTGCTGCTGCTGCTTCTTCTCTCCTTCCTAACTCGCTCCCAATTTTATTAGTTTAAGGTTTTCTGATAATTCTTCAAAATTTCAATTCAATTGAATAATATGATAATCAAACCCGACGCTATTACTTCTTCTTCCCCAACCTCCACGTGCGGCCGTTGCGGCGTGGAGGAGCTCCGCCTCCTTCATAACGTCCGCCACCGGGATACCTTCCGCCGTCTATGCACCTCATGCGTCCTCCGTCTTCATCCTGAATCGTTCTGCCCTGTTTGCTTTGCTGTTTACAACCCGGCGGCTCCGATGACCTCCGGCATTAAGTGTTCCCGATGTTACTCGTATTCACACCCGGAATGCGTCGTGGCCGATCGAGCTAATTCTTACGTTTGTTCCCTTTGCCTCGACCCGAATTCTCCGATTTTTATGCCCAAGAAAGTGAAGAATTTGATCGTTGAGAATCCGGCGGCTGCCGCTGGAATGATTAATGACGGAGCCAGTGGGGAATACAGGGTAATTGATGAGTGGAACGCCAAGGTTCTGTTGGCGGCCGCCGAGATTTCTGCGGATTCCATGAGTAAGGCGGCAATGGCAGCCAGAGCCACGGCGGAGCAGAGAGCAATGGAGGCTGCAAGCACCAGGAAACGAGCTAGAGCGGCATTGGAACGGGTGGCGCTTTTGGTTGCGAAAAAGGAGAATTCGAAAAGCAACTCCGGTGTTGGAGCCCGAGTTGGGAATGGAAGTAGTAACGGCGCAGTTGGACGTTCGAATCCTGCTCCTGTGATGAGGGGAGACAGTTCCGGGGACATTTTGGCTGCATTGAATGCGGTGGAGCTGAAAGATGTAAGATTCGTCAGGGGTGAACCTAATCCGGCAAATGTTGGTTTAGCGCGGCCTTTGAATGATGCTGTTCCAATGGATATTGAAGAAAATAGGAGACCGGAAATGAGTGCAGTTGTCAAAGTAGAGAAACTGTAATACTATATAGTTTTCCCAGCCTGTGAAGCTGAATAGCAATGTATCTGGGCATTATTAGTTGCTGAATGATCAAAGAGATTGAATCTGAACTATGCATGTGAGAACTTCTATAGCTCGGATTCTATCCGTTTATTTGGTCATTTCAATCCGTTTATTTGGTCATTCTAGATCAAGTCTTCCTGTAGGGAATTGCAGAGATGACTCATAATGTTCCGAATCTTTGTTTGTTCGCGAATGAAATGGCCTTATATACTGTACTTTTGATGTGTTCCTGCATCCTATTTGTGTGTGTGATGTGTGTCTTCAAACGCAAATCATTGTTTTTCCGGCCATCATATCTGGACTTTCCTATGCTTTCTCACGTTCCACAATGTGCTAGTACTTATGAGTTTTTGTAAATAGGGAAACTTTGCTTCTTTCTAGTTGATATGTTACCAAATGGAATAGACAAGTCAGGCGCGATTTATCCAGTTGTCTCTGTGCAAGGTTCGCCAAGTGAAATCTCATCTTCCATTACTTTGTTTAACTTCCACGCCAAAAAGCAAACTTGAATGTGTTCTTTGATATTCATAATATCAAACTGATTGGCCATAGCCTACATTGTATCCTAAAATTGTCTGAAATGTCTCTAAAATTATGTAGTGTGCATATGCATACTCCTACCAAGTAATGTGTCAGCAAAGTAGACACAAGCCATCCCCAATTAGTCCCCACAGTTAACAGTTACGAGACAGATGGAGCATGAACCAGCCTTACCAAGTCAAAAACGAAAGTTTTCCCAGGATCCCTACAACACCAAAAGGTGTGTACTCAGCGGCCAAGACCTCTGTGATGTTATTCTAGTACGAACCCGTGCTGAGTCTTCTGGGCACTGTCAGAATTCAATTCGACGCAATCAGTCATTGGACCAATAGTCTGACCTTGTTTTTACTTTATAATAACCAGCCAGTGTAAACCTTATTTGGTTTCACCAAAAAAAAAAAAAAAAAACTCATCGGGGTTTCCCCAGTGTTGTGCAAAGCTCATCGGCTCATCATCTTGTGACGCAATAGTTTTGCTTCAGCACAAGTTTCCAGTTATGATTCCTCATCTTCAACAAAAACCCACCAAAACTGTAGACTTTTAGCCCTCATCAGGTCTGAGCCAAAGCCTCCGCAAGAATGCAGCTAACCTCATCGTGTGAGGTAGGGGGGAATTCATCCACATTAGTTTGCAGTTCGGATTTTTCAACAGGATCAGAACCCAACAGTAACTGGTGAGTTTCAGCGTTCGGAATCCATCCCTTACCCAACATTACATCCAGCATGCGACAGGCTACATCTCTATATCCTTCTTTACATAGGCCGCTGACTAGCATATTGTATGTTAGTGAATTTAGAACATCAGAACAAGAGATGAGTTTATCTATCGTCCACAAAATCATGTGGAGTTGTGAGTGTTTGGACAAACAAGACAATACGCTAGTTACTGTTTCTGAATCAGGTAACAAACCCTTGTTCAGCATCAGATTTAAAAATTTAGTGCACTGCTCTGGACTATTGGTTGCACTCTTACATTGCACAAAAATGCAATACGCGTCTTCCTCGATCGGACAACCATCTACAATCATCCTGGATAAAACCATCAAAAGATGATCTAGCTTCCCAAACTTCAACAAACACCTCATCATTCTAATATAAGTAGCAGAGGAAATGGATGATCCTGAATAATCAGCAAGAATGAGGAACCTCATTGCACAGTTGAACTCTTCCGTTTCACATACCCCCTTAATCAGTAAATCAAAAATGGAAGACTGCAAACAAATTTTCTTGCTTGACATATAGCAAAACACTTCAGCAGCCTCTTGAATCTTTCCCTTCAGAGAAAGACATTTAACAAGTTCGGCGTAAGATGCAGATTCCAAAACCTGACCCTTGCTTTTGATCTGATGGAATAACAGTAAGGCATCTCCAAGTTCATCATGTTTGCACTTTCCCATAATAAGAGCGGAGTAAGTAGCAGAGTTGGGAACAAAGGAAGCAATAATCATTCTACAAAGAACTTCCGAGGCTTCCTTAATCCTACCAGTCTCACCAAGGCACAAAATAAGCAAATTCCAGGACAGCCTATCAGTTAAACCCCTGTCGAACATTTCATCAAACAGATCTTTAGCAGCAGCAAGATCACCAACCTTACAGTAGGCTCCAAGAAGTAGATTAAAGGGACAAGATATCTCTACATTATTCTCTAACAAAATCTTCTTGGCTTCACTAAATTTATTTAATTTGCATAACCCATCTATTATATCCTTGTATGTATCATTATCTGGAGATACTCCACCACTCACCATCACCTCGAAAAGGCTAACTGCATCATCTACACAAAGATTCCTACATAAGCACTGAATCATCACTCTGTACGTAGACGAATTTGGAAAAACTTTTGAACTTTTCATCATTGCAATTAACCTCAGTATGGCTACATGTTTATTCATCAAACAAAGTGAAGGTGTTATTCGATCATAAAATCCCATGTCCACCTCACACTCGTGTTCTAGCATTTCATCTAAGATACCCAAGGATTCATCTACTCTTTCCTTAGCAATAAGACCACCAATAACAACCTCAAATGTCCTGCTATTAGGGCTACACCCTTTCTTATTCATTCTTCTATACTGATCCACAGCTGTATCAACTCTATCATCTTCAAATAATGCCTCCAACAAGTAATTTAAAGTTTCCACATTTGGAAGAATTCCTACTTTTACCATTTCCTTATAGACAAATAGTACATCTTTAAAGTCCCTTTTCCCCTGGACGAGTGCACCCATTAAGCCATTGAATACGCCAATTGAAGGCTTAATACTACTAGAATTTAAACACGCAAGAACTCTTAAAGCCTCATCAAACCTATAATTTTTACCGAAAGTATCTATCACAGTCGAGAGAGCACTATCAAAACCTGAATGCTTTTCCTTTATCAGTTCATTACAAAAACATTCCATTTCCTCCACATCTCCAGCCATACCTAGTTTCAAAATCATTAAATAGTATGTCTTTACGTTATGCTCAAATTTCTTTTGAAGAGAAGCCCATTTGAACAGTTTCAACGAAGAATTTACATCAGTTGTTGAATCCAAGACATGGACCAAGCTCTCCGGGTGAAGTTTATTCCTCAAAAATTCAATCTTTGACTCAAAATCGAAACCATTTGGGAGGTCCTTATCAGTTTCTGGGTCAATATGAATGGTATTTGCACACGAAATTGAAGAAAAAGATGTTTGCAAACAGACCCTTTTGGAAATTCTCCTTAACAATGTCAAAGATGAAAGCTTTACTGCCATTCAACAAACTACAGGAGTTATGAGGAACGGGGAAAAAGCTTCTGACCTGGATGGAGTTCTTTCTTTTCTGCCAAAATTCTAAACCAGTAGCTGCTCCAAGTCGACTGCGCAAGAAATCCAACGGAAAAAGATTGTGGGATTGCCTGATTAGACTTCGGTTTTCGATTTCTCCGAGAAGAATTCCAGATTTGTGGTTATCAAGTAGTCAACAGTATAAGTCGATCGTTCCATTCTGCGAATTACATCGGCATGGTGTCCATGGTGGTGAATTTTCTTGCCCCTTTGCCCGAAAATGGACGTACAGAAATTTCTTTTTTCGTCCTTCATATATTTAATATTTTCCTTTAAGTCCTCATTGTTTTTTAACCAAAGGTGAGTTTTACTCCTCTTGTTATCCTTTCCTGTTTGGGTGCTGAAATTCACTTCCATTAATGGAGATGATGAACTCAATTGGATGCTAGTATTCCTTTAGCAAGATTGTCTTAGATAAACACATATCACAGAAGAGCTAAAAGACATATGAATTTGTAAGTCTTTTTGTCGCTTAATTTGTTGATAGATGCAATCAACCATGAGTGGATTTGCCACCTAAATTTCAAATAGCCACAAGTATTTGTTTCATCAAAATTCTCCCTCCACAATTGTCTTTCCTCTCTTTTTTCCATCTCATCTCTATGTTTGACTTGTCTACTTTGTTGTTATAAAAAGGAGTTTTTTTTTTTTTTTTTAAGTCCTTGTCCACTCATTTGAAGTCCTCGTAGGAACGCCATTGCCTCCGTTTGCAAAGCCATGGGACCTGGTTTGTGATAATCTCCCATGCAGCAGCTCCCAACTTGTCTTGCTCTTGCAGTCTTCTCTGTATAATTCGGGTTCGATTTGCCGTCTCCAAAAGAACGACAATGCTAGCAAAGAAGTTTCGCTCCTCAAGAGGACGCCTCACTTTCCTCCCCAAGTCAGAAATAGTGAGTGTTGAAGTAATTGGGTGTGGCTCCGAATTTGATAATGGATGTGAATTGATTTGGGTGTGTAGAAGCTAACTCTCTAATGTCAGCTGCCTGTCATGTTTGAATTTTCACTTTCACTATAATTTCTACTAAAAATGAAAATCCAAATTAAATGATTATTTCAGAAGTACTAGTTTTACAAAGTTAGTGGTTCTGACTTTTCATGTTACTACAAATATGTGAAAATGATAAGTAAAATTGGTTAAAGTTTGAAATAAAATAAACCACGTTCTATTTAGATACAAGTTGATAAAAGAAAAACCAGAGGGAAATGTTGAAATCTAGGAATGAGATTCGATTCTTGTCTGGACTACCACCTATGACAGGTACAAGAGTGCCAAGAACACGTTTAAAGCATATGATGATCCCAAAAGCTCAACAGATTCCAACATATAAAAGTTCACATCTGCGAATACGTATTGGTTAACACCACATTTGACCCTTTAGTCTTGTTTAGTCCTGTTGTATCATAGACAGAAAGACGGATCTTCAACCATAACCTAAATCTTTCAAACCAATACACCAACACCAACTGAAGAAGGAGCCAACCTAAATTCATTGCACCAGCTTAATCAAACATACAATCCCACATAACTTAGGAAACACACTTCCAAAATCCAAAATTTTCAATAACATAAAACTTTTATTGTAACAAAAAAACAGGAGCTAACAATGGACACAATCACATCATATTTATGATAGCAACTAAGATACAGAGAGGGCAGGTTGCTAGCAGATACTGCCCAAATTCATGTCCAGCATTCCATAGACAGGTCAGTTAATACTTTCGTAGCCTTTCAAACCAGCATGGCAGCATTATCATATAGGATAGAAAAACATTGATCGAAATTGCTTTAACTATTCTGTACATAAACAGTACCATTGGCGCCACTGACTATTCTGTACATAAACAGTACCATTGGCGCCACTGACTTACCGATGATCCAACATTCAATTGCTGTATCCCCGATGATTAGTAAGATTTGCAACTTATGGTTGAACATTCCGGTATCAACTTCATGTAACGTCAGTTGGCTATCGATAAGTTGTTCAGTTGCAAGAGCTTAACTTCATCCGCAAAAGATTTTAGATGCTATGTTGAATACCCAGGCTTCTAAAAAGGTCTTCTTCTTCAGTAATATCGTCTAGATCATTCGAATTTTATGAATATTTAGTCCTTCCTTGATCCAAATACCGTAGAATACCATTTCATATCGTCATGCATTTCCATGACGACAAGTAACCAATGATATCTTCTCCCTTAATAAGTTCCACATACATAAATCTCTGTTATCAGGTAAGTGATTCCCAAAAGCCTTTGTACTTTATAATAGTCTTCCCACTTCAATTCCAAATACAATACACCCGAGTTCCTTTCAAAAGAGCTTCAACAACTACCAAGTTCAGCAACTCCATCGAGTATCATCGGTTTTTAATCGATCGCAAACTGATAAAAAAAAAACAACAGCCAGAAGCTTGAAATCATTTAGCAAACAATTTCACACCTTCTGCCGCAATACTAACTTGTCCAGTAACCAAGAACCACATCCTCCATAGATTTGTTACTTTACCAACAAACTCTCTCGAAGCCAAACTCATTTGCCTAAAGACTCCTCCACAGATTCGTTAACTAACCAAAGAAATCACTCAAGCAAAACTCATTTGCCTAACGACCAGGAGCAAAGCAACGTAATCCAACCGCAGACCATCCTCGGACCCAAAGATACTATCAACTACTAAATTCAAGGCAGCTATTTAAAGTTGCCTTACATACTTGGGGAGGAACACACGTAAGAGACACAAGACTCTTTCCCTCCCCTTCCGTAACTTGTTCAACAAGATGCTACGGCAGCAGCCACCCCAGGGTCGGGTTTCTCTGCAAGAACAATCCTAACAGGTTGCCATCCTGATTGGTGATGTGTCATCCATCTTTTCATGTTGATTACCATATTCAAAATCTGTAAAACTTCTCCCAAAACAAATTCTTTTAGGCACTCTCTCTGTATAATCATAGCTGCTTCATACCTGTCCAGCAGATGGCAAGGTTGAAGTAAATCAAAGTTCCATTACCATATCCAAACCAAAAGCTAAACAATAGAACCTAAAAATACATAAATGACGGTACATACATAAAGTAACAAGAAATCCTATCACCTAAGGTCTCTTAACAAACCTGCATTGGGAGGCTAGTATTGAAGACCGTCCAGAAGATGATGACAGAAATTTCTGAATTTCATCCCATGTTGATTTTGGAAATTGCTTTGCATTAACATCCTTTTCATTCACACAGCTCCAGAGCTTCTCATTCTTACCAACATACAGCATCAAAGGACCTAAGTTCTTCTTAACTACCAGCTGTTGTTCAACAGCACAGTCGAGAGCTTTCCCGACATCAGTGTTCCGATGTTTGGGATCTCCATATCGAATGCAATCAGTAATATTTTCGATGGTAGGAACAATTTTTTGAGTTTTTAGTGTGTTCAACGCAAGTAAAATAACCCCGATAAGTCCTTGAACATATTCAGGAGGTTTAGGACATCCTGGAGTTCCCCAAACCCCACTTCCAGACATACCAGTGCTAATTTCGGAGACAGATGGTGGCGGAGGGGGAATCTGTTGGTTAATGTTCGGCTGTCTATTCCCATGATTATCATGGTGGCTGGCCGGTTTCTTGTGACCATTTTTCCCTCTTTGAGACCCGTATAAGGTAGTACCATTGGTAGATTCAGTCATAGAGGTTTTTCTAACTTCTCCATTCCACATAGAATGCTTCGGACCATTATTAGGGTATTCAGAAATGTGCAACTTTCCAATATCAGGCACAGATGTAAATGGTCCAGGAGTAAAATTAGAAACATCAGGTCGGAGAGGCATTACATTAGAAGGATTCTGCATATTGTGCGGTAAAAAGTTACCTGGAGGAAATCCAGGTTGTGATGGAAGGACATTTGGCCTAACTTGGGTAGGATAGTGATTTTGATAACCTTGAGGACCACCGCCATTGTTTACAAAAAGGTCTGGTCTATCTACCGAAACTTTGGAATTCTGACTGCCAGAAAACTCCTGTGAATCATTGAATGATTTAGAATGCCCATATCCTAATTTATGTGGGCTTCCAGTGTTGTGATCATCTTGAGTCCCAATAACTGAGCTTGAAGTTCTCGACGTAGTTGGTTGGGTAAAGGTTCTCCTTACTGGTCTTCCTTTGTTTTTTAAATCAGCCCCCCTTCCCATATTAGGGTACCTTGGGTTTCCCATATGGGCATTGTCATAAAAGTAATCCTCAGATTGGTTAAGCTGAAGTTGATCTGTACCTGGAACATGTAACTTCTCAGAACTATGAGGTGCAGAGCTGCTATTTACAATTTGAGATGTTTCACTACTTGTAAGTGGAGATCCACCAACCACAAGACTAGTCCATAGCCATACACTTTTTGCTGCAGCAAGAAGAGGAACCGACGCTTTTTGAGGTTGTGCCAAAAGTATATTATATCTTCGCATGCGCAGTTGGTGGAGAGCATTAGAAAAATCTCGATCACCGGAAATTAAAAGATAGTTGGCCGGTGCAGGATTATCTACGGCCCAAAACAACATATCTACTAGAATCTTCTTGTCACTTGCATCTTTGACGCCTGCAACGGAACCAAAAGTTATAAGTACCTATGTTTAGTTACCACATTAACTTAGCAGGAAATTGAACCAAAAACAGGAAGAAACTTTCTCAATGATCGAGACACTGAAAACCAAGTTCCCAAAAAACACATAGCACAAGTCAAAAGGTCGGCATTCACAAGTAATTACAAAACTTCCTATGGAACAGTTTACCCATCAGATACGTGAAAAATTACCAAAAAATTAACCACAATTCAACATTAAAAATGCTGTAAATTTGTCGTAGAACAGTTGTACTGAACATAAATCCAGACAGGAAATAACACCAGGGTTTTATATAAACAATTGTCAACCTTGTTGACATTGTACAAAAATAGAAGAATGATCCACACTAAGAACTATACAGGATTTTCAATATGCATGAACAATACAACTATAGCAGACACAAACTTCCGCAATATCAGCTCTAAAGGCTTCCTGAAAGTTCTAACAGCATAAATGCATGATACTCCAGAATAGAAAAGAACAACACATGAGAAGAATGCAATCCACTCTTTTCAAACACAGTGAAAAGAGGAATGGGATGAAATAAAACAGAAACAGATTGAAAGAATGGATGACTTTTGAGAATTTTGAGAGCTGAAAATAGTAAACGAGAAGTCCAAAGAGCAGAAGGTAGCGGCAAAAGATCACATCACTAGGCCAATTTATCAACACACATTTTAAGTCTACAATCCAATAGAGAGAAAGACCAAAATAGCAACATCTAAACTAAATTCACAAGAACAGCACAGTTGGGAAAAAAACATCAAACATTTCAGTAAGATCCACAGTCCTCTTACTCTTCCCATGTCTTATGATCAAAAAAAACAAGTTGCATCTCAAATAAGAATTTTTAAAAAAATACAAATAAACATACAATCAGATAAGACCAACAGACACAGTGATCCACACCCTCGAGAGTCGAGATCCTCATCACCCCTTCAACAACTCAAAAGATCAATTTGACTCGGAAGAAAATCAAGATCATAACATCATATGCAAATCACAAATCCCAAAACTTACAAACATTACAAAAAAGTTCACACAATCAAATTACCCATAGAGCGATGCACAAAATGTCCAACAAGAAAAGGAAATTTCCATCAGATCTCAGCAAGATTTACCTGCAGGAACGTGGTTGAGTGCAATTCCGGTACTATTGAGTGCCTGCTGAATACTATTACTAATTCTAGTCGTATCACCATAAGCAGATATAGAAACCGGTCCACAGTAATTCATCTTGACTAAAGCAGAGCTTATATTCTGAGCGATCATATGGGGTTCGGAACCCTTGGGTACTTGACAATTCTCTATATCCCACCACACCGATATCTTCGCCGTCGAATACTGGGCTTCCGCCATACCCATCATCTCTGCTCCGCCGTTTCCTCCAGCCCCACCCATTATTACGAACTAAAAGAAACCCAAATCCTAATTATTCACAAAGATCAAACCTTTATCTTATTTTTACATTTTCTATAACAAATCACTCGAACCCAATTACATTACACTACAGTAATCACCGGGAGTTTTCACACAACTTTGGATGAATCTAGTGACCGTGAAAAGGCGCAGGATTTGGTATTGGGCAGGTGAAGAGATTCATGGGGTGATAATATAGATTCAAGGGAGAGTAGGGATTAATTTATACATGAAAATTGGGGAAGAAAAAGGGTGCGAATGAGTGGTTGGAAAGTAAGAAGTCCACCCGTAGTCGTCTTTGGTATCTGTATACTTAGCGGGCAATTGACGTACAAAAGACTGCCTTGGTCGTCTCACTCACACAAACAAGAAAAAAAAAAGAGAGGAATTTGAACCAATTTATATTATATACGTCCCAATGTAAACTTACCATGTTACCATAACCACTTTTACTAGATGTAGTAGGTTTCCGAATTCCAATTGTGTTTTCTCTAAGAACAGGGCAAATCCTTAAAAAGGCAAATCCTAAAAATATAAGGAATAAATTAAATACAAATATAAGTCAAATTTGTATTATTATTACTTCCGTCTTAAAAAAATAGTTCACATTGAGTTTTCAAATTTGTACACACGGAGTGAATATAATTTATAATCAAGACAGAATGAAATATTCAATCGCTTATAGACTAAAAAAAATTAAATGTAGTATAACTAGAACTGGAGACAGGTTACTGAAGATGAATATCAGAGTGGATGATAGGAATTGGTTGATGTATGAGGAGGATACAGAGAAATCAGGTACACATATGTATTTTAATTGTACTTATGCACAACGGCTGTTGAATGATTTGCTGGAATGGATGGAAATTAGACTAAGACAGAAGCAATTGAAGTAGTTGATCAGCACATTATGGAATGGTTACAAGTATCAGCATCTGAAACAGAAGATGTTGAGTACAGTTCTTGTGGCTTGTGCGGATGTATGGTTAGAAAGGAATGCACGCAGATTTACCCAAAAACAGACTAGCAGAAGACAGAAGTAAAGATATCAAACGTGAACTTAGTTAGAAAGTGCAACAGACTTGTAAGAAGCTTAAGGCAGCTAACTTAGATTATTTGAAAAAACTTGGAATTGAGATATATATATATATATAGCAAATAAGTAGCTGGTAGACAGAAAGAGTAAAGACAAAACTATGTAAATGGATTTTGTTCAGTCTGATCAATATAATTCACCTTAAAAAAAAAACTAGAACGGGAAAAAGATCAGTGTGTTATTATATTGGTTGTCATTTATTAATTAAGTGAACTAGGTTCTCTCTCGTGCGTTATACGGGATATATAAAACTAATTATTAGTTGTGAAAAAAATACAAATTACTCGATTAATGGTTGATTATAAAATAAAATCTAAAGAAAAAAGGATAATACAAAGAAAAAGTAAACAATAAAAAATGAGGTAAAAAAAGACAATGTGAAAATTAAGTGGTATTGGAATTATTAGAATTTAAATTTATTTGAGCTTAAATATAAGAAAATTGTTTCTCTTGAATTTTTTTTCGTAGTTTTATCCATTAGATTTTAACATGTTTTTAATAAGATGGATATTACAATAATTGATTTTCAAATAAGAAGAATGCCTTACTTGGATTTTCTAGTCATTTTACTAGCGAAATTTTAATTTTTTTAATGAAAAAAATGATTGGCATTATAGTGATTTAATTTGAATGTAAAAAATATATTTCATTTGTTATTTTCGTAATTTTACTCGTGAAATTCGGTTTTTTTCTGAGAATAAAATATTTAATTACACATAATTAAAATTTCTCTATCTGAAAATAGAATGAGCTAATTTTTACGGAGAAATGATTTCTTTCAGTAAACCAACTTCATTGTTGATTAAGAGATCATTCAGAATAAATGCATATTAATGTTATGATTCTGATTGTTTTATATTTTTTATTTGGTCAAAGATTTTGTTTTCGGACAATCAATAGGAAAGTCTATCATATTTTTTCCTTATAAAGAAATGGATTCAAAGTTTCAATATAATTATGTGGGAGGAAAAGTTTTTTTGTTTTTTTACAAAACGACGTCGTTTAGATTGGGCGGGAAACAGATGTATGAGAGCGCGACACATAAACCTTTTTTTTTCTCTTGGACTATTGTTTTAACAGAATATATATATATATATATCTTACTATATTAGAAACAAAAACCACACTTAAGAGAAAGTACCACCATTTGCCATGTGGCATTTCCACGCCATATTTTTAAAATAAATTTTATTTACATATCTCCTAGACTTAAAAGGCAAATGCAGTCCAAATCCACCTCCACCTCCTATTTTCGCCAAAAAAAAACCCCGGATTCATTAAAACCCAAATCCTTATCCCCATCTCCACGACAATCGACTCCCTAATCAATATCTTCTCCACAATACAAAATAAAAAACAAATTCCTCATCAATTATCAATTAAGAATATGTGGTGAAATATATTCCTTTCCTATTAACATGTTCAATCTTTTTATTAGTGATGATCAACTACATCCTAATCGGATAAAATTTTGACTTTAAAAATTATTCTCTTTATCTCTCTATATAAACACAAAGGAAAAAAAAAAATATTCTCATTGATCTTGCTTCGGCATTTGTGCTGGTGCCATTACATGTATTAAAATTTAAATGATTTTATTTCCACAGATCATTTGTTTCACTTTTATTATTTTTTTCCCATTTAAGAATAGTGTTATTACTATTATTTTTATGCGTCCATCCGATACAGCTACTGTAGCCGTTGTCAGGTAATATGATGTGATTTCTTATATGGTTAGTTAGCCTAGAATTTTTGTATGATTTTAGTTCTGTTTGGATTGAATTGATTAATTGGATTTTTGTTACAAAGTGTGGTTTTTTAAATTTCTTTTTTTATGTTTCATTCAATTAGAGTGGTTTTCTTTTTTTAATTATGGAGTCTCGGGTTTTTTTCGTATATAGTCAGTTATGAAGTGTGTTTTTTCTTTGTTTAATAGCTTTTGATTTTGTTTCATACTCCCAGTTGACCAATTATTATTATTATTATTTTATTTTATTTGCAAATGAAGTGCGTTTTTTCGTTTTGTGTTCGAGCTTTCAAGAATATATTTTTTTGGATTTGACCTTTGGACTTTTTTTAGTTCCTCATCATATAAATAGTTCAGGTCGCTTTTTCAAACTAATTTATGGGGAAGCCTTTTATGAATTTGAGGTGGAGAGGGAAGAAATGATGTTTCTACGTTTATTTGTGTTTTTATATATCATTTTTTACCTATAGAAAAAAAGTAAATTTACCAATTTTTAATGGGCTATCTTTTACTTTCTTTCTTTTTTTTATTTGTCGTAAGGTGAGCTCTTTTTTTATATAACTTGAAACCTATGCAAATTTATATTATTTTCATCTGATATTTGTGATCAACCAGTTTCAACAATTAACAAGTTTCAAAATCATATTTTTGATATTTTACTACCTATAAACTTTTGGAAGAAATAGTTCCAACAATTAAGTGTATACCCTTTGGAGGAAACTTACTACAAAGCTATTATAAATCTCCAAAACTAAGTATTGATTTGGCACCGCCAATGGAGAACATCAATAAATTATCTTACTAATATTTAAATTTATTAGGATACTTTTATATTTTGTCTAGCATTTACTTGAATATATATGTTTGATCAAGTTTATTTATATTTAAGTAGTAACACTTATAAAACATTTCTAACATCTTGAAACATTTCTAAAATGTACCGGGCCAAATGCAATTTCTTTTTATGCCAAATACAAACATTTCTGTGATCACTAAAATATTTCTAAAATATATCAGTCAAAATACAAAATATTTTTTTCAGATACAAGCATTTCTAAGATCTACAGATATATTGGGTCAGGGTCGCGCAAATGCGCAACCAGACATCACTAGTATATATCTTACTATATTAGAAACAAAAACCACACTTAAGAGAAAGTACCACCATTTGCCATGTGGCATTTCCACATCATATTTTTAAAATAAATTTTTATTTCCACATCTCCTAGACTTAAAAAGCAAATGCAGTCCAAATCCACCTCCACATCCTATTTTCGCCAAAAAAAAAAAATTAGGATGCTTTTATATTTTGTCTAGCATTTACTTCAAGACATATATTTTTTAAATACAAAGGAAAAAAAAATTGTCATTGATCTTGTCGGCCGTTGTGGTGGTGCAATTACAGGTATTAAACTTTAAATAATTTTATTTCCACAGATCATTTGTTTGGCTTTTATTATTTTTTATTTCAAGAATAGTGTTATTACTATTATTTTTATGCGTCCATCCATTACAGTTACCGTAGCTGTTGTCAGGTAATATGATATGATTTATTATATGGTTAGTTAGCCTAGAATTTTTGTATGATTTTAGTTCTGCATATATTTAATCAAGTTTATTTATATTTAAGAAGTAACACTTATAAAACATTTCTAAAATCTTCAAACATTTCTAAAACGTACCGGGCCAAATGTAAAATATTTTTTTTTTCAGATACAAACATTTCTAAGATCTACAGATATATTGGGCCAGGGTCGCGTGTTGCGCGACCAGACATTACTAGTAGATAGATATACAACAATACAACATTAAGTTGGAGACTTTTTTTGGATAAGGATTAGATTAAAAAAAATGTTATACTATATCAGAGGTTATAATACTTTCTGGTTCATTATTTGATTTTCGATTATTCAATGGATCACATGAGTAAATTTTTTTTACAATTATTAGGTCATTAATTGCTAGAAATCCTCCATTAAAGTACAGGTTATTCGCCCTTGAATAATTTTGGTAATCAAATTGTATTGATTGTTGGGTTGGGGATTACAAAAACCCCATAAATTTCTCAAAATATGTGGGATCAAGTTGTCATGTTCTTTCTACTCAAAGGATAGAATCACAATCAACCCCTTAGTCACA